ACCTCTTAGTTTGTTTGATTTCCCGGTAGATGGAACGGCCTACACTGGGGCAAAGGAACGTTAGAATCCCGTAAGAACCACTTATGAAATTTCGACAAAAGGATTTCTTATGGAAATCATAAGATTGGCGATTGGCGTATGAAACAGAATTCATAAGTTATATAAAATGTAGCAGACCGGAATCGAATCCTGAGCGCTCAGGTTATTGACTCCGTGATTTATTCCCACGTCTATCAACGCTTGGAAAATAGAATATGTTAAAGATGTATAAGAACCTCATGCATATGGAATTTATGACATCAAAATTGTACAGGTTCATAAGTCATGTCTTATGGAATTCTTAAAATTGTTTTGCCTCTGTGTAGTTGAAGTCAACGAATTCCTGTATCGATCTTTCCGTAATATGCTTTACTGCGTCACAGTCGCCTTCGAGATGGCTGCGTTGGACTATCCTTCGCGGATCTGCATCTGTGCTTTCCAGGCACTTGCCTTACCATTGAGGCTAAGTCCTTGGTTGTCCTTTGCTGTGCATAAAAGTCGTCCTCATTCCACATACCACCAGCCCCACCATTTTCACCGGGTTGTCGTACGACATTCTTACCATATGCCCAGCAAACCGTGGTCGCTCGATGTTTGCGGTGTGGACGATGTGTGGTTCTCCTGCTGGTGTAATTCATAGTTAATTAGCCATCTCTGCGTTCCGTCTTCCATCTACTCTACCGTAGATGGTCCACATCACCTTCCGTTCGAAAACACCATGGTCCTCTATGAGCATAGTCCGCTCTTCTGATCACACCTTCCATCTTCTTCTTCCTCGCATTTCAAGCTTATTGCTTATCGCATATTAGCTTATTGCGTGCTCTCAACTTAGTGTTCTAGATGCACTTCCACAGTTATTAATTGAGAGCTCTCGATGCCTGTACCATTTTTGCATTAGTATAATTGTGTGGCAAGTACCAATCATACTTCTATGCCTAGGGAAGTCGAGAAATTTTCCAACCGAAAAATTCCTAGGCCGGACTGGGAATCCAGCATGGTCCAACTGGCCCCAATCACACTTTCCAACGGAACGTTAAACAGCAAACACGAAAGCCCATCACCTTGCCGTAACCCTCTTCACTAGATTCATCGTCGCCTTGACTAATCGCGTCAGTTTAACCGGAAACCGGATTCGTAGCACGTCTCGATGGATTGTGTCGTATGCTGATTTGAAATCGTTGAACAAATAATGTGTGCGAATGTTCAATTCGCGAAAATGCTGGACCGTGGCACCCGTGAATTCTGCCTGGTATTTCCCCACGAACTCTTTTGCTATCGATGATAAACGGCGACATCGTATTTAAGGTTCAATTTACTTTGATGCTTTTTGGAAAATTTCAAAAGCAGTTTTTTCTGACGCATTATTTCAGATTGCAAAAAGCTCGCACTATTCGATTCGTTTTGATATTTTACACAAAATGACGCGAGCTTTTTTTTTTTTTTTTATTGGGTATCAAGCTGGAGCTGCGTGACAGCTTAGTTTTCAAGACTTGACCCATTTGAATAAATTTTGCTTCTATCTTTGACAATACAGCAGAAGGACTAGCCTATGTTGGCCGCTTGAACACTGGATTCCGTATGTATTGTTTCAAGATAGTTATAGAAAAAATGCTGTGACGTGTGCGCGTAGATACATCCGCGTAGTAAACCGATTGAATAAGTAAATCCGTTTCGAACGAAATATCTAAATTATGTAAGTTACGAAAACCGCGCGAATTCCGAAAGCCGTGCGAGACAACCGAAGCGAGAAAAAAGGCTTATTATCATTTAAAGAGTGCCACCAAAATAAATGTGATAGCCTATGTTGGCAAGTTGATTAATTTTGGTTTCCTCCCTAGATATTCTACTTACTTACTGCTGAGCTTTGTATCAAATTAGTTAATTTAAAGAACGTATCAATTATTTCAAGATTTCGCGACCGCACCGAACAAATTCTATGAGCTCAAAAGCGTTTGACAAACTTTACCGAATTGCGTATCACTTCTGCGTAAGCTCCGTAGACGTAGGCGCGTTGAATCCGACAGTCGGCAAAGGTTTAACCTGTACCAACACCGCTTAAGGAACGACCTCAAGTCAGTGAAACCGTTTATAGCTAAACATCTAAAAACGCCACGCGAAACAACCGTAGAGAAAAAAAAACAACTTATTATCACTTAAAGAGTGCCACCAAAATAAATGTGATAGCCTATGTTGGCAAGTTGATTAATTTTGGTTTCCTCCCTAAATATTCTACTTATTTTACTGTTGAGCTTTGTTTGAATTTAGTTATTTTACCGCACGTATCAATCATTTCAAGATTTCGCGACCGTACCGAACAAATTCTATACTACAGAAGCTCAAAAAAACTTTTGGTGAGCTCTACCGCATTGCGAATCACTTCTGCGTAAGCTCCGTAGACGTAGGCGCGTTGATTCCGACAGCCGCGAAAAGTTAAACATGCATCAATACCACATAAGGAAAGATCGATTTTACGTATGGTTTAGTTCATAGATTAGCATTGACTGCTGTTTACAAATGTAAGTACTTGAACACTAAGAAATAAGTTAACTCAAATGCTTTAACCGCATATATAAGAGATTTCGCGTATTGAGAGAATTATATAGTAATCGAGTACAACAAACTCAGGGGAATACAATACCTCCAAAAGTTTAAAAGCTATTAATTGTCACATACCTTTACTTTTACTTATTTCCTAAACTATTCCTCTCCTTGTTAATCTGCTTAATAGTATTGGTCTGCCTGCGTTTTCTTGTTAATGTTCAAACCTAAATAAGAAGATTTATTCTACAACTTTAAAGGTTAGTTGCCTCCTAAGCGGACCCCCCGCATCCTAATTCTTTTGTTAATCTACTTAATGTCATTAGACTTTCTGAAGTTTCTTATTTAAGTTCATTTGATGACTATGATATCTCATTAGTCTAATTTAATAAATTATTAAAAGCTCTAATTCACCTAATCAATCATAACCCATGCTTTATAAAGTACCTGCACTTGTGCTTGTAATCTAAAATTAAACGTGTTTCAAGTACTTTTGATTTAAGCCTATACCTATTTATTATATCTTAGTTCGACCCAGGTAACACCTTCATGTGACTAAAATGCTTCATTTTGAAGTTAGTTTCCTAGCTGATATTTACATTATATAGGGTATATGTTCCAATTACGCTCTCACGTTTCCACTATGTCGCACCACAAAAATACATATGGGTATGTCACAATAGAAGCACATCACAGTGGAAATCCCGAGCCATAGTTCAAACACTTATCCCAAATCAAAATGAAGCACATATAAGATTATTTACAATGCCATGTCCAAAATGGTGTTTAACATTGTTCCCTGAGTAATACCTCAATGAAAACAACAATGAAAGCTTGTCACGCAAATAGAAGGAGCACCGATGGGCACTTTCTGAAATACTTCAATAGTATAATTCCCTTGCAAACCCAAATAAATCTATCGTAAAAAATAAATAAAATAAGAGTGATTTGCGGCAAAACCCGCCAGTATCACACCCAACGTCAGTGCCTATACGTAAGCGTACTACGACGCGGCTCTCAATAAAAGGAGTAACAAGTGTGATACTATCACTGCTGGACTAGATCTTTGGTTCTCTCATGCAGTGGTTTATCAGAGAGGGGAAGCTTAGTAATCCCCATTGCCTGCCCATGGCGCCATTCTATCGCGGCATGAGCCAGCAACGCCGACCATAAACCTACCGTCTCCAACACTCCACTAGCATGAAATTAAGCCCGCCCACCAACAGCAAGGTGCAAAAACTAGCCAAGGGGAGGGCACAAAATGACGCGAGCTTTTTGCAATCTAAAATAAAGCGTTGAAAAAAAACTGCTTTTGAATTTTTAAAAATGCATCAAAGTAAATTGAACCTTAAGAGATAGTCTTGCAGTAATGTGATCGCGCGGTACGCCTCATCCTCCACTCCTCCAGTAATCCCCCTTATTCTGCGAGTCACGTGACTCTCTCTCACCGGTGAGGTGACAATAGTCACCTCGTGTGAGGTGACTCTCCATTTGATTTACACGGAGAGTCACCTCACACGAGGTGACAATTGTCACCTCACCGGTGACAGAGAGTCACGTGACTCGCAGAATTAGGGGGAATATCTCCTCCACAGAAATCTTAGTAATTACTGCCAAGCTGTGCTTTTCGGGCTGCCAAAATACCTCACATCCTTATCCCGTCACAAATACTTTGCAAGATTCGTCTAGTTCCTTGTATTGCTGACAAACAGTAATGGGTAGAACAGTTCGGCCCAGGCTTCACGTAATTCATCTGTTATGTTACATACGTTCCACCGGTTCCACCTAACCATGTGATGGAAACAGTCCGTTTTTCTTGATTTGTTTTCCGTGCTGAGCACCAATGCTACCGACGCCAGGGAGGCAACTCCCACACCTGGACCCTACCTATCGACTCATCAACTAATGAACCGGGGACCAACGGTTTTACTTCTCTTCCGAAGGATGGCGTGATCAGAGATGTTATGCCTCAGAACATCCCGGCGGGATTGAACCCAGACCTGCTGGGGTGAGAGATAATCATGCTTACCACTACACCAGCGGCGCCGCTAGAAACAGTCCGTTCTCATATTTGAAAATCCGTTTTGATCCAAAACGAAAATAAGGTCGAGAATTGGCGTCTGTCGCTGGCAGGCAAGATTCTGATTCTGCTCACTTTCACTGTTCGCTGAATCTAGTTGAAAAAACAAACTACTGTTCAATAAGTACATGTACTTAGCGATTATCGCTTATCAGTGCTATCTGTCCTTAATTTCCTATTCACATAGGACAATTATGCGATTATGGGAAGGACAAACCTGCGAGACCCGACCAGATTAACTCTGTCTTCAACTCTAATCATCGCTTGCACGATCTTACCACCGTTTCATACAGGATGTTATCCCCCAAAATTCCCCGCCCGTCCTCCGCAAGTCCCCACCTACCATCTGAACATCATCCAGGATCCCCTGCGGTGTGCTTCCGGCCAGCACCTTCGAACAGATAAAGTCCACCAACGTCGGTTCCGGCTCGCCGATGTACTCGATAATCTTCTTGTTGATCCACGGCCGAATCTTCTTCTCGATGGTACTATCGATCTCGTTCCAATCCAATGGATAGTTGAACAGATCGGCCTTCTCCGTTGGTATTTTGTCGATAATACTCTTGATGTGCCGTCGTTTCTCCTCCTGCGATTTGACGCCGTCCCGTCCCGATCGGCTACTGCCACCGGTGCCGTCCTCACCTCCACCGCCACCACTCTTACTCTTGGAAGAGCTCTTGGAAGAGGCATTCCGGTCTCCCGGAGCAGGGACCGGCTGCGGTGCCGAATTCTGAGGTTTGTTTTCGTCATCTGAGAACAGAAATAAGGTTTGATTTAGCCCATAAGAATGTTCTAAATGATAAGGTCACTTACCCAACGGAACGAGCTTCCGTTTCTTCGGACCGTTAGATTCCTCTCCGTCCTCCTCCAGGCTGTTAAACACATCCTTCATTTCTAGCTTCTTCTTCTTGGCATTGGCATTCAAGCTGAGACTTATCGTCGGCGCAATGGGCTGGTGTTTCTCCGGAATCGAATTCAACTCGCTGTTGCTGTTCGCTCCGGGGCTATGCATCGACATCATGTTGGAATTCGAGCGCATCGAGTGCCGTGAACTCTCATCTTCTCCGCCCAGTCCCATCGCCCCTGCGGAACCGAACCCGAACGAGTCCCTCGTCTCCGATCCGGCATGCTGTGGATGGTGACCGTGATGGCCGAGGGGAGCTGCTGCGTGATGGTTGTTGGTTACACCCGGATCAGGCGATGCGAACGTGTTGTCCTCGTGCCCGCTGGAATCGGACTCGATTGGTTCCGCATCGATGGCTGCCAATTCCCGGGATGCCTGTGCCAGAACGTACCGCTCCTTGTTGGCACGGATCCGTTCTTTATCCCGCTGCCGTTCCAGCTCTCGTTGTCGTTCACGTTCCAGCTCCCGCTCCCGCTGCTGCGACTGTTCCAGATTGACGTCGATCAAGATCTTGGGTCGGTACAAGTCCTCCCGTTGCTTCTTGGCCTGAAAAGACACACAAATGAGTGCCGTCGCAGGTGTGGGTCCCGAATGTTACCTTTTCAAACTCTAGCGTCGGGTTGTCATACTCGCCGGCGAAGATTTTGTTCTTCAACTCGTCCAGCTCTTCCTGTTCTTTGTTGCGATCCTTGGAGTCCTGGTCGGCTTCGCGCACGCGTTCCGCCAAGCGCCGCTGCAGCTCACGGCCCCTGTGAAAGTAAGATAGGTTGAAAACATTACACCCTTTCACCCCAATCTCGAATACTTACTTGTAGTACTTCGGATCATCCCGTTCGTCGTCGTAATCCTCCAGGAACTCCTTCAGTCGCTTCGCCTCCTTCTCGCGTTCTTCCTCCCGGCAGCGATCCTTCTCCCGGTCTTTTTCATAATCCTTAGCCTTCCGTCTTTCACGTGCTTCCCAATTCCTCAACCGTTCCTGGTAGGCGGCTTCCTTCTCCTTGGCCTTCTTCTCGGCTTTCCTCCGATCACGTGCCTCCTCTTCCATTTCTTTCTCTTTCTGAATGTCCCGCGGGTTACGATTCAAAAGATCTCGCTCCCGTTCCCGCTCTCTTTCACGTTCCCGTTCTCTCTCACGATCTCTGGCTTCCCGGGCTTCCCGATTTTCACGCTCTATCCGTTCTCGGTTCTCTCGTTCTCTTTCACGTTCCCGCTCACGTTCTCGCTCCCTTTCCCGCTCTCGTTCCCGTTCCCGCTCACGATCTCTGGAACGTGAACGACTCCGCCGCCGGGACTTCTTTTCCTTTTCCTTCCTAGGCGAAGTCGATCTCCTCTTGTCTCCTCCGTCAGCCTTCTTCTCCTCACGCGCCTTCTTGCGCTCCTTTTCCTTCTCCTTCTTGATTTCCTCCTCCTCGGTATACTTACGGAACTTGCCAATCTCTTTGCTGATAATGTCTCTCTTTCCCTCCTCGATATCAACCGACTGGAGTTGTTTCTTTTCCTTCCGCGGAACACCGTAGTCATCTGGCTGTTCCGGAGGCATCAGGTCGTCTCTGAACTCATCGAGAATCCGCGTGATTAGATCCATGGAATCGTCGTCACCTCGCTTCTCGGACTGCTCGCTGACGGCACCGTTGCTCTCCTCCTTGTAGTTGTCGAGCAGGGCTTTGTTCTTGGCGTCCACCTTGGCTACCAACTTTTTGCCATCGATTTCCAGATCATGCAACAGGCGAACGGCACGAGCTCCAGCCACGGCACCACTGAAATCAACAGAATCAAATCATTAAACCACTCACACCGTATTGAAAAAAAAAACCGCTACTTACTCATATTCGCAAAAACCAAACGTGGACACCCGCTTCCAATTGATGACGGTACCGCAGGATGCGAGGATCTTCTTGATCATCGGATCCGGCGCCCGGTCGCTGATGTTTCCGATGAAGACGGTAATCACCGGTCCATCCATCGTGGGCGCCGCATTCGGAACCTGGACACCTCCCCCTCGATCATCCCGGCCGCGTTTGTCGTGGTGATTGTTAGAGTTGTTGTACATCTGCGGGCGGGAGCCGATAGTCGGTGGAGGTCCCCGGAAGTTTGAACGTCCCCCGGGCGGTGGCTGACTCATTGAAGGAGGCATTCCGGCTGGTATGATTGATGGCTGTCGAAAGAAAATCAACTCATTCACAAACCGATCACAACTTGAACATCCCCCCTCAGTGTCCGAAAATACTCACGGGCATCATTGGCGGGGCCATTCCATACGGGATTCCCGCGGGCACTATGGTCGGCGGCGGTCTACTCGGGAACGACATCGTCGGATCCTGCGCAAAACTCTACAACAAGCTACAATATCAGCAACCGGAGTAAACGATACAGAAAACTTTGATCAGAATCTTCCTCCGGTGTCGGGGGGGTTCAGAAAACCCCTTATTTCTCTCGGCTGCTATCGGCAACCGACTAAACAAGACGAAAATTTCCTACCAAGCGAACGTGGAAGTGGCAAACATTTGACGACAGTCGTCACAGCGGCGAAAAAAAAACTCGGAACTCCTTATTCCAACTCCGACGACGCTGCCTTCTAGTGCACACACACAAGCGCACAGCGACGACTTTTCTTCTACCTTCCGTCGCTCGCCGTCAGCCAAAAAAATTAAATTCACGATTTCCACGCACTAGTGCACCCAATTCACTACTTTCGAAACGGAAAACCCGGCACCAATATTCCGGGCATCGATCGTAGATGGTTTCGGTGCGTTTCGGACGCAATTTGTATCGAATTCTAGCGAAAATGTGCCACCGTTTTTCACCTCCTGCTTGCTTGCTGATGGCGATGAGATGAAACGAAACGCGATGATCGCCTTCTTGCGTTGCGTTCGTTTTTGACAGATACGCGCAGGCAAAAAGTTCTTCGTTTTCTTTACCTTCGCGCGATGCGGCGGATTTTTTGACGTTTTGAATTCGTCACTGCGGCCGAAAAGTCGCTTCCGGACTGTTCGAATTTCGAACAGTTAAGGGGTGGGTTGTGAGGGTAATTTGCAATTGAGAGCACGCAGTGTAAAAATGATAGTGCAAAAGGTTAAAAATACATTGTGTTTACATTTACATTGTGCTTACATTGATCCTGCATTGGCTATTCAGTATTTTAAATAGGTTTTCTATACTCGCAAGTCAGTATAACAATTGTCATCTTAAAACTACAAACTAAAACTAAATATCGTCTAAATTTAAATAAATAAAGAAATCAATCAATCTTATCTAAATTTAAAGGGAATTAATCCATAGAGGTAAAGCCGAGCAAACGGGTTCGGGGTTGGAGATGCTGATTGAAAATAACGAAATGGACGTGACGACCCCGACGACCGACGAGAGTAGCGGAGAGCATGCAACGGGAAACGACGTTCAGAAGCAGCAGCAGCGATCACGATTCGGGTTCAATGAAAATGAGGAACAAATTCGGGAAAGAAAGAAGTTGCGTGCACGGGAGATGATCGCTTTGTCGCCGCTTCGATCACCACCCAGAAAAATCATATGATAAAATACATTTTTATATTTTTTTTTGTATTTAGAGTACCAAAATTGGTATTCTATGTTACTCGGCTCCGCTAAGTTATTTTTTTTTAACATTTGAGCCTGCCAAATAAACGAAATGAAAAAAAAGATAGCGCTATAACATGTTATAACCATAGAGGTAACTCTAAGACCACTGGGTCCCGAAGAAAATCATTATTATTTTTGGCTCACTCAGTACCAGAACAACGGTCCCAAGCAGTCCCAAGCTATTTCACTCACCCCTGCATGTTCTGCATGAATCCACACACCCCTGATGTTATCTGTCAAACTTTCATAGCGAATCAAAACAAACATAGTGTAGTAATAGAATTTCAACTAGAATAGGGTACGTTAATCGTTTGCTTGGGACCAATAGGCTACTAAAGTGGTGAGCCAATTTAAAATCGTTAGTTTCGTATTGATTGTTGACATAACCGTGTCTTGTTGTGTTTTTCGTACTAGATAAAAGATTCTTTTATCGATCTGTGTGCTGAAAATACCTGGGAATGACTTAACATGGCCGTGGGAATACAAAGAGAAAGTCGACGAAAAGAAGCTGTCAATGTTACTTAGGACCTAATGCAATGTTCAGCTTGAAATCGCTGTAAAACCAACAATCAATACGAAACTATAGATTTTAAATTGGCTCACCACTTTAGTAGCCTATTGGTCCCAAGCAAACGATTAACGTACCCTATTCTAATTGAAATTCTATTACTACACTACGTTTGTTTTGATTCGCTATGAAAGTTTGACAGATAACATCAGGGGTGTGTGGATTCATGCAGAATATGCAGGGGTAAGTGAAATAGCTTGGGACTGCTTGGGACCAACAATCAATACGAAACTAACGATTTTAAATTGGCTCACCACTTTAGTAGCCTATTGGTCCCAAGCAAACGATTAACGTACCCTATTCTAGTTGAAATTCTATTACTACACTATGTTTGTTTTGATTCGCTATGAAAGTTTGACAGATAACATCAGGGGTGTGTGGATTCATGCAGAACATGCAGGGGTGAGTGAAATAGCTTGGGACTGCTTGGGACCGTTGTTCTGGTACTGAGTGAGCCAAAAATAATAATGATTTTCTTCGGGACCCAGTGGTCTTAGAGTTACCTCTATGTTGGGACCGTTGTTCTGGTACTGAGTGAGCCAAAAATAATAATGATTTTCTTCGGGACCCAGTGGTCTTAGAGTTACCTCTATGGTAAAACTCATTTCGACAGGTCGAATGCGGTCGGTGCGTCCGTTAAATATCACTAATCTCTTTAATAGTATGTGCATGTAATATAGGCCGAGATATAGGCTATCTTGCAATGAGCACTCATACAAAGGATTTCCAGTGAAAACTAGATGTATGAGTTCTCATTGCAAGATAGCCTACACGCAGAGAAATGGTTTTTAAGTTCAAATGGATATATTTTTGACTCAGGGCCTAATATATTTTAGATATTGTTTCAAATATATTATTCGGTTAATTCAAAGAAAAATATTTTTGAATCAACAAACCGGTTGTAGAGTCAATAATCTGTTTGTTGATTCTAAAAACCATTTTGTTGATTCAAAAACATGTTTTGTTGAAATAGTGATACAATATGTTTGAATCAATAACAAAATACATTAGGCCCTGAAACAAAAATCCATTTTTCTGCGTGTATATTACATGATATAAGTCATAAACGCTGTACAGACTGGAGAGTTATAACAACAATCAATACGAAACTAACGATTTTAAATTGGCTCACTACTTGACTAGCCTATTGGTCCCAAGCAAACGATTAACGTATCCCATTCTAGCCGAAATTCTAGTACTACGCAATGTTTGTTTTGATTCGCTATGAAAGTTTGACAGATAAAATGAGGGGTTATTGGTTTTTCCTATGTTTCGAGGGGTAAATCGAATAGCTTGGGACCGAAGATAGTACCAGAGCTGAGCCAAAAAGTTGAGCACGTTATTTCGGGACCTTCTAGTCTAGAGTTACATCTATGGTAATCCAGCTTTCCATGCTCGGTAATGGCGGCCTGTTTGTATGAATAAATGTATCATTCACTGTGCTTTTTGACACTAACTGGAGGGCGTATGTTGTTCCATTTTCTTCTGTTCCTGGGAGAGGGAAAGGGAGGGGTCAAAATCACAACATCCAGATAGTGTCAAAAAGCACAGTGAAGGATACATTTATTCATACAAACAAGCCGCCATTACCGAGCATGGAAAGCTGGATAGTTTGTACGGGTTATAAACGAACAATCCCACAAATGGTGTGGATGATACCCCGAACACGTCGTTAAACTCTTTCTTATGGTTATTTTTATTAGGGTGCCCTGCTGCGAGGGCAGGGCAGTATCCTCCGCTTATCCGACAAGATCATGACCGGACTATCAGTAGAGATTACAACGTTTTCCCCCTCGTTTGAATCTGTCCAAGGTTTCAGCCAATACACATCATAATGAAGTAATGAAATTGGGTTGTTTTTTGCTGTTTCAAAGCATTCAACTAAGAGCAACCGTAACGGGCGTTGTCATTTGTGCGACTATTTTAACAGCGCACAGCGCTCTCATTTTAGTTTAGTCACTCTTCTCCACACCGGTCGCTGCTATCGCGGTTATCAATTTACTCGCCGTAGTCCGTACCGGTAGTGAGCATTTTGACATTTCTACGAATAGCAACCTTCCTCCCGCGCTGCTATCGCGCTGCTAAATTTGGTAACGCGCTTCTCACCGAGAAGCCGACTGCTATTTTAGTTACTCGTATGGCAGCCCCCGATACGGTAGCTGCGCTATGATGAGGGCTGCTAAAATGAGTTTAGCAGCGTACCGTTACGGTTGCTCTAACAACCCAATTTCATTACTATGAATTTCCAGCTGGTTCAAGGGGAATCCCCCAACGCTGTAGCTTGCAGCTAAATTATTACTTACCTCTTGGAGCTCCTGGGAATGAAAGGCCACGAGTTCTGGGTTTTCCAATATTCGAAGCATAGCCTACTTTAATCAAATCGACATAGAGTGTACGTCGACTTTAGTTCCGTGTACATTTCTACCGAACCATTAATACAGCTCATTTCACACTTTCCTAAGCTCATGACTGTATAACGCACGATTACTTCATTATGATGGCTACCACGTGGTTTGTATTTGTATTTATTTAGTGATACGTTAGCCTGTAGTTGACACTTTTTACCAGGTCAAGGAAGAATACATTTATTGAAAGAAACTCACTTTACGGAAAACTTGGTTGAGTAAGGAATTTAGTTCGGAAAACATAAGATCTATAAAATATAGTTTTAATTTAACATTTTTTTTTAAAGAAACGTTAGTAAATTAAACAAACATTCAACTTTTGAAAAAAATTGTCACGCAAAAAACCTCCGCTGTAGTTACGTCCTCAGGTCAATAAACTCAAAGCCCCATCCGTACACGAATAGACTTTGACTTTCCGGTATCAATTCTAGTCCCTTAACATCTGCTACGCACGTGTGCAACTTTTTCAGCACGATCATGTTTTTCCATCCTGAGAAATCCGTCAAGTACACACGCTGATCGACACCTGTGCTCCACAAAGTGCTGTCTCCACCGAATCTGACTCCCGTCACTTGACCAACGTGTAACCCTTCGCCCAGCACGGTGCCCTGTTGATTAATCGAAATTTTCCCATAATTCCCAGTTGACAGCTGAAACCGCGTGACTGCTACCGTTTGGTCGTCGCTACCGGTTCCGATAAGAAAACGTCCACCACTATCGAGACGTTTCAAATCGAACGCATTAATCCCGCTAGCATGATGTTTCAGTTTGTGGAACGGTTCCGTCAAACTGTCCGAATCCCAAAAACAAACGAACCCATCCGTGGCCATCGTCACAATCACCGTTCGGGTCCCGATGGTCACTTTTGTTATATGCAAGAAGCATCGTCCGTAGTAAACTTCTCGCACTAGATCTACTTTAAAGCTGTCCTGTTCCTGTCTTACCACAAACTGTCTCAAAAATCCATCAGAACAACCGATAAACAGTGGAGACGACGACGAGGACTTGGAAGATTCGGAGTCCGCCAAAACAGCGCACATGAATCGTGTTTCCGGATCGAACGACGCCGTCCGGTTGGTCCGCCACCGGGCTCGATCGCTATCGCTAGACAGTAGCATGTAGCACAGTTCTTGCTTTGTCCGTTCCGGTTTGGAGGGATCCAACGTGGTCAGACACAGTTGGGCACGACCCCCAGCGGAAAGGATTAGCACCTTACCGGCGTAGGCCAGTTGCTCGCAGGACAGGATGGTTTTGATGCTGGAGATGTGGCAGTGGAGGTGTTTCCGGGGATATTCCTAAGGGGAAAGAAATGTTTTTTTTTTATTAGTGAAAGTTTCGTGAATGGTTTTTTCGATGTTTCTATGTTTAAGAATTTTTAGTAGTACCAATGGACTGAGTGAATACAATCTTTACTTTTCTCATATTCGGCAAGTTTTTCCTGGAAAAACATGAGGCAAATTTATTCATCGATGAGTTCCTGCACTATGTGATTTATGAGTTAACTAAACTCAAATTTGGGTCGTTCTCATTGCCCGTGTAGAAGATCAAGTAATTTCTTCGGAATCATACAGACCACAGAAAGGCGAAGACACGGCAGAGACATCGATCCCTTAACCTGTAAGAAGTCGACCACTCACCTGCAACGTTCCGCTTGCCGCACAGAAACAATTTATCCGCAGCACGTTGTCCTCTCCGCCGGAAACGAACAGCATCGTGTCCCCACTCTGTTGCTGCCCCCTCACTATCCTCACCACGTTGCACGCTTTTGTGTGCCAGCTGAGCCGTGGCACTTGCAGCGCATTGAGCGACTTAACGTCTCCCAACCGAGCCGAAGACACCAGCTTCAGTCGCTTACGCTGAATGAAGACGAACCGAAAGCCGCTCCCGTTGTCCGAAAGCAGGAAATCCCAATACCGATGGCCACCTCCGCAGTCCACCGTGAGGAGCACATCCTGCTCGTCCCGTGCCACAACAAAACGCGAATCATTGAAACCCATTATCAACCGGTTCGCCATGCAGATGCGATCGATCCAACTGATGGCCGTCTTCCGCTCTTCGTATACCTGAAGCCGGAGTTTGTCCCGGTCGAAGAATATCGACTTCACGTGACCATCGTGGCCGGTGGTGGCCAGAAAGCATCCTTCCGAAGTTTGTTCCTCCAGCTGGATGTGGGTAACGCCCAGCTTCCCGTGCACGTTCGGTAGTTTAAAGATCGGATCCGTTTGATCTTCGCTGAATAGGTACAAATTTCCGTTGCGATCTGCCAGTAGAAGAAATTGATCCAACCGAAAAGCAAACGTCAGCCATCGTTCGCTTGCTTTTGGCAGTCGATGGCAGGATTTCAACGTTTCGACGCTCAGGTCGTATATCAAACATCGACCGTTATTGTCACACAGGACCAGTTCGGAATTATTGCACACGTGCAGCGATCGAATGATGCAGAATCTGACTTCCTCCGGACCCTGAACGAATTCTTGTCGGTTAAAGTCCACCTCAATCTGCTTTGTCGGTGTCATACTCGAATTGCTTTCGCCGGAATCGGACAGCTTACGTATCTTCGCGGAACTGGATGGATTCAATAGCCGCTGGTCCAGGTCGTAGATATTGAGTAATCGATTTCCAGCAACGAAGATCCTATCGTTCGATACCTCCAAAATGCTACACTCAAAATTCACTAGACGATCAACGACTTCTGGTTTGTGCGAATCTTCCAGCAATAGTATTCGATTGCTATTGGTTACGGCTACCATTGACCCGTTGGGTTGGAATTTGACCTTCGTCAGATGATCATCGTTCAAGTCGGGCGTGACATCCCATGCCTCCTGTTGTCCTCGGTTCGCTTCCAGGTACTGTCCTATACCAAATTTCGACACATTGCCATTGCTTGCACAGACAAAAACTGTCATCGTTGTGGCGTCGTAATCCAAGTTCCACAACGTTGCCCCATCTTCCAGTCGTCTCTTGTGAACCAAATTCCCCAATTCGTCCCACAGACATAGATTCGAGTCCTCTCCAATCGAAACTACCCAGATTGCATCGTTCCCCCGAATGATTCGACTTTGAAAAACCCTTGCCGTGTGGCCGAAGCAATAGGTTATCTCCTTCAGGTTCATTCCGGTACCGTCTTCCGACAGCGTCATCCTCCAGAACTTTACAGACCGATCGTCCGAAGTAGTAGTCAGGAACCTCCTCTCCAGATCGCATTCAATCGAAAACACCACCCCTTTGTGGGCAGATATGCTGCATAGGATCCGCCCTTTCTGCTGTCCAAACGGACGCCAAACGACCAACAGTCCGAGCGCCGTTCCACTGAAGCAAAACAAATCCTTCCAGTTGCTGCCGACGATTTGCGAGCAGTACAGAGTCGAGCCGTCTTCGCACGGACATTGGTCCAAAAAGATCCAAGCTCCTACATAATTTTGACAGAAATGAATAGCGACTCCGTGTCCCGTTATCACGCAAACCGTATTTCCCTCCAGCAATTTCAGAGTGCTAATCCAATCATTTGAACGACGGGCAGCGTGTGTCATTAAGATCCTATTTTCCGGATAGTATAGCAATTCGGAAACCCTGTCGTATAGCATAATCCGATGCAACTGGGAAAATGTGTTATCCTAAAATAAAATATACCTTGTATCAATCAAACTCGCCAAGAACCCAAATTCCCAAAACCAACATTTCCAAGGACAATCGAGTACGCGTCACGACCGGCGTGAATAACAATCAGCCAATTCGGTTCTCCTGCCTCGGCGGCTTCAATGAGACGATAATCGATCCCATGAATCTTGTCCGTCAAGCGCGGCAAACTGCGAACCGGTTCCCGCCGGGTCAATCCACTGCCATCGACGCTCAACAGCACCAGCTGATTCCCGATGGCTGAAAAGAAAAATCAAAACAATTACAATCAGCACCATCCGTCGTCTGGATGCAACACCACTTACCGAGAAGCAATTTCTCGCTGGAAAGTACCCGCACACAAGTGGCATCCGTTTGTACTTGCATTTCCGTCCACTTTTACCAGGAACATTCGTCAAAAATGAAAGTATTTTGCTGATAAAAAAAAATAGAAACGCTGTTTATCGTGGCGGTTTTGTTTTGAATAACAATGCTAGTGATTTGTAGCAACCCTGCAAGCATTGGAATGAATGATCTGGCTCGGGACGCAATCTTTGACAGTACCGTGTCTTTGCTGAAATGGGAAGCCGGCTGTGAAGGGTGCTTCGTGAATTGCGCTACACTCAAAAATATTACAAAACGTATGAAGATTAAAATTGTTATGCATTTTATTGTTAATCGAAATTTATACATTTTTTTTTCTTTGATTTGTGTTCCGTCGATCTTGTTTTCCGTACTGAGTACCAATGCTACCAACGCCAGGGAGGCAGCTCCCAAACCTGGATCCTACCTATCGACCCATCAACTAATGAACCAACGGCTTTACTTCCCTTCCTAAGGAAGGCGTGATCAGAGATGTTATGCCTCAGAACATCCCGGCGGCGCCGACTGGGATTGAACCCAGGCCTGCTGAGGTGAGAGGCAATCACGCTTACCACTACACCACTGGCACCGCTATAAATTTATACATTGTTACGATTGAAATTTTCGTCAAAATTATACTAAATCTGATTCAGTGTATAAAATTAAAAAAAAAATTATTTCGCGTTGGTGTCGTGCGTTTAGTGTTTTATACGAGGTTTTATATAAATACAATTATAATACTTTGACTACACAGCAAAAAAAAAATGTAATATCGATCAACGTAATTCAAGCTGATGCATGAAATAATCATGTAATAGCAAAACGCAGATACAATATTACATCAATGGATGTAATTTTGTTCGCAAAATCGATGTACATCGTACAATGTGATTTTACACAACCGATGGATTGACCTGGTTGCAGCAGTTTCGATGTAATATTCAACAACTTTTTTTGCTGTGTATATGTTTTAGTATTACTTCTACGTGAAGTCAACGATTTACATAGTTGAAGATGCTAATTTCAAATAACAGACTGGAGTGGTAATTTTTATACGATAGATGGAGTAGATGAAAGCATAGAGTTGATAGTTTCCGTTAGAGTACGGCAGTGTGAAGATTGCATATAGATATTAGAATAGTGAGCTAGGACAACTTTTAAGGAAGGTACAAATCGGTTTTTTCATCTCTCTTTACGAAACTCCCCCTTTGGAGAGGGCTGGTGAGGGGTGTCCCCCACCCGCCACCACTGGCAAAAAGAGATGAAAACCGACCCGCTCAAGTACCAACAAGGTAGAACCAACAATCAATACGAAACTAACGATTTTAAATTGGCTCACCACTTTAGTAGCCTATTGGTCCCAAGCAAACGATTAACGTACCCTATTCTAGTCGAAATTCTAGTACTACGCAATGTTTGTTTTGATTCGCTATGAAAGTTTGACAGATAAAATGAGGGGTTATTGGTTTTTCCTATGTTTCGAGGGGTGATTCGACAAGCTTGGGACCGAAGATAGTACCAGAGGTGAGCCAAAAAGTTGAGCACGTTTCTTCGGGACCTACTTGTCTTAGAGTTACCTCTATGGTAGAACCATAGAGGTAACTCTAAGACCACTGGGTCCCGAAGAAAATCATTATTATTTTTGGCTCACTCAGTACCAGAACAACGGTCCCAAGCAGTCCCAAGCTATTTCACTCACCCCTGCATGTTCTACATGAATCCACACACCCCTGATGTTATCTGTCAAACTTTCATAGCGAATCAAAACAAACATAGTGTAGTAATAGAATTTCAACTAGAATAGGGTACGTTAATCGTTTGCTTGGGACCAATAGGCTACTAAAGTGGTGAGCCAATTTAAAATCGTTAGTTTCGTATTGATTGTTGGTTCTACCTTGTTGGTACTTGAGCGGGTCGGTTTTCATCTCTTTTTGCCAGTGATGGCGGGGGGGGGGACACCCCTCACCATCCCTCTCCAAAGGGGGAGTTTGGTAAAGAGAGATAAAAAAAACCGATTTGTACACTAATAAAAATTCAATGATTATTTTTATGAGTCCCACACATGAATTTTTGCAATGTGATAAACAAATGATATATATGTGTCGCACACATAGTTCTTATGTGTACACATAAAATTCATGTGTAACCACACATACTATTCATTTGAATCATAAATTTCATGTGTACTTCTGAGTTGATTCTGTTTATGTATGAACAAATGAAAATCATGTGAAATTTTACATGGAAATTCGCTAATAAAAATGTGTCGAATTTTATGAGTGTACTCACAAAAAAATATCGTTAGTACAACTGAAAAAACCATTGGTAGAATTAAAAGTTTTCGTTGGTTCTTTTTGGTAGAAAGTCTTTAGCTTTCAAAACAAAAGTCAGCTAACTGTCAATTCAAAAGTTTCGCGCATGCTACTTTTAAAAGTTGAAACTTTCAAAACGAATTGTAGTTCTGTCAAATGAAAAGCATGATAGTGTTATAATTAAAAGTGGACTTTTGTCATGAAAGTTTGGTATAGTTGAAATAACATGTGCCGTTTTGAATCTATAACAGTATTTTCAATTTAAATTCAAGCATTTTCAACATTACAATATCAATTTTGATTATAAATTTTTATAAATATTAATTCAATTAATTATTTTTTTATGAATTGAAAAAATAACCTCAAATATATTTATTCATATCCACAAGAATATACGTATTGTAAAATATAACAAATATATTAATTATGCCCGGTTTCGGTAGACATTATCCATAGGCTCTCAGCGAGTATAAAATCGTTGCCATTGTACTGCTATATCACAAAAGTTGGATGGAATCCGGAACCCAGATGGATTTTTTCCGCCGATTATTGATTCGGACCTATTGATGGCAACGGTAGATTTTCATCGTCTGGAATTAAAATCAAGTTTACTTGACGCAATAATATTGATAGTTAAATACTTACAATTTTAACTGTTGATGTCACCGCGCGCGAACTACTTATCTGGCAAAACCGGCAATCCGGCAAATAAGAATATTGCCTTGAATATCTAACGAATTTAATTTATGCTTCGAGTTTCGTACCACACAAAGAACATGATTTGCAAGTTTTGACGTCAAGGTTAAAATTAGCGGCAAATCTATGTCCAGTGCTGCCAAAAACATTGCTATGACAAGGTGTTTTTGACAGTTAAACAGTTTTCATTTTAAAAATATGCACTTTTAAAAATAGAAGTTGACAATGAAAAATAAACTTTCAAAACAAATCAAATACTTTCATTTTGAGAATTTTCGTGCTTAAAACTATCAAAGCTGGGAAACTTTTATTTTGAAAATGCATGGTTTTCATTGATACAATTTTTGTTTTTTGTGTGTACCTTGCTTAAAAGTTGTCCTAGCTCGCTATTCTAATATCTATATGCAATCTTTACACTGCCGTACTCTAACGGAACTATCAACTCTACACACTAATCCAGCATTTAGTTGTTCGGTATTTTTTTGTACTGGGCTTACACCGTAAAACAAAAGATTTACTGAAAATTCAGTTTAAATCAGGTGAATAACCGACGTTCTGTAAAACACAAACTGAACTTCGGTATCGTTTGATGCAAAATACTGTACACAGAATATTTATTTACTGAGAAAGTCGTTAATTTCCAAATCTTCGTGATTTCACGAAAAGTCAGTAAAACTAATTACTGTGCACAAAGTAGTTTTTATTTTTTACCGACTGGTCAGCAAAATAGCCTCCTTGTTTTACCGACCACGAATTGTAAAACTCTAACCTGTCAATTTTATTCCCGCCGCCATTTTAGCTTCAGTCAAATCCGGGAGCAAGTCTTTAATCGCGCAGTTTTGTTAAAATTTGAATTATATCATGTGTGTAGGCGAACCAGCCCATGGCTGAAAGCCTCCCTAATAAAGAGAAATTAATTAATTAATTATATCATGACGGAACTGAGAAAGCTCGACAGCGAAATTGAAGAGCTATTTCGTTAGTACCAACAATTATTATTTACTCTTTTTGCAGTTCCTTGATCTCCAACAAATTTTGATTAATAAAATTGATGTTTGCATTATTTGCTTTCACTGCCGATGCGCTGTCCCGGGGTACGTCAAGGGATTAAGTCGTCATATTAATTGGCATATTATAAACGGTGAATTGCACCAGGATTCGTGATTTTATCACTGCATATTCACAACTTTTAATATAACTGGGTAACACGGTACAATAATGAACCAAATAACTGTCTTGTCAGTTAAATTGCAGCAAAATAAACAAAACAAAATACTGGGTTTTCCAGTATACGCAACTCAAACCAATTACTGAATGAACAGATATTTCTGACAGATTGACTTTACGGACAGTTCGGTAATGCAAATTATTTCTGTGATGATTACTGGGCGATCCGCAATTCAAAAACCCAGTAATATTTTACTGACTCCAGTAATCTAAAGTTAGTGTGTATGCTTTCATCTACTCCGTCTATCGTATAAAAATTACCACTACAGTCTGTTATTTGAAATTAGCATCTTCAACAATTATAATTATAACGCGTAGACCATCATCACTGCGCGTCCTGTTGCTGTGCCGGTTGAATGAAGTTGACTGGTCCGTTTCGGGTCAGCGGTGCGTCCTTCATCAGTCCGACGTGTGTTCTGGCCGGTGTTGGTTTCCAGTTTTCCGACGGATGATACTAGGGCGGTGCAAATCCGTTTCCTTCGCCGGCTCCCAGAAGGGCTGGTTGACTAATGATTGACGTTCGTTGTGCGGGGTTAATAAAGGCTGTCTTGCAATGAGCACTCATACATCTAGTTTTCACTGGAAATCCTTTGTCCTCCGCCCACGCAAACCAACAACATCATCGGATAGGGGCAACTATAACCTTTCCGAAAGTGGTATTGGTTTGCGTGGGTGTACTTTGGGTCGCGTGTAAAGGGCCTTAGAAAGTTTGTTTACAAATGCTTTTGTGCCGTTATCAAATGTTATGCCTGAAATAATCATCTGATATTAAACTCAGTTTAATAATGGTTGATTAAATTAAAAGCTATCTCGTTTGATTCTATTATACAAAATTTGATTGAATTTTAATCATTTTTGATTTAATTTTAACCTTTTTTGGTTGAATTAATAATTTTTATAATATATTAATATTCTAAAAGAATAAAATTTAATACTACAAACATACATTTTAAAAGGGGAAATGGCTCTAATGTTGGCCTATGGATCTAAGACTGGCCCCATCGCTAAAAACCTACTGTTTATCAATTTTATCTAAATGAACGCGTCATTGGGACGGTACGAATGGATATTTTTGGCTCGACACAAACAACGAAAATTGTATTAATAAAAATACCGCATATTCAAATTAAAAACTTCCCAAAATTCGTAGATTCAACAGCAAAAATATTCAATCTAAAAGTTAGTTTTTTTAATTGAAAGTTTTTCTTTTACTTTTGATTCGTGGTACATATTTTTAAAACAAAAGTTGTTCAACTATCAAAAATGCCCCTTTAGTGATGTTTTTACTAGAAATACTCAGAGGGAGAGATAGGCGGAGAAAACAAAATACAATTCGGCAGCAGGGATCTGTTCCTAAATTGTCTTGCAACCCTTGCTAGAAGCTAGCATTTCAAATTACTTTTATTTTTGATTCGATTTACGTGCAAAATAATAATTGATTGCATCGCAATATTTTGCACATTTCTTGGTGCCATTCATTAACCAACGAAGATCAATTAATCAATAGAGTTAGAATATTGTTTTTTTTAGCACACAAAAAATAAAGGTGATTGAATTTCTGTTCGATTGCAATACTCTCAAATTTATTCTAGTAAGAATAAGAAATCGTCGGAAAAAATCTAATAAGGTGATCCAAGAGACGTTTCGCAGTGGAACTGACAGCTAGAAATCAAGAGTGTGTGAGTGATCTGGTGTTAATGGTGCTGAATGTAAACATAAACAAAACAGAAATTCATATGAGAGTGAACTGTCAGTTCTACTGTGATCTGTCAAAAGTTCTTGGTAAACAAAAAAGTCAGCTGATCGCAACTGTCTCGTGGACAGCCTTATTGGAATGTGCGTTTGGCTCAGATTTTGACAGTTCATTTGGCTCAAAACATTCTCTCCGCCCATCTCTCCCTCTGAGTATTGCTACTCTTAACTGGGTGGCCAGCAATCTTTTATGTTAGCTGAATTTCTCGGTAAAAAAAATCGTTTGCTGTTTTTCAGTAAAGCATTTGTTTTACTTATACTTAAAACTTAAATTTGATGTGTAGTAAATACTTTAAATAATTTTTTTATCGGCCATTTTAAAACAACTCGTCCATAGAAACGCAAACCGTGGACACAAACCATTTACAGCGCCGCTAGCTGTCAGGCCATCGCGCTGGTCACTCTATCCGCTGTCAGTCGAATCAAAAAGTGGCAGTCCTCTACTGTTCGGCTATTCCGTCTCGTCTCGACGGACTTGGCTGCTGGCTGTGCTCTGCTTTGCCGTCGTTCGTCCCGTGCTTTTATCGTGTGTAAATCGCGGAAGAAGTCTGCATTTTGCATCCATTTTCAGTGTTACCCAAGTGCAATTTAAGCGTTAATCTACGTACGATACACCGAAGTAGGGTGTATCGGAGGAATCAGTGTAATTCGGTGGTATTTTGTGTGGACAAACTCGCGTGTTTTGTAGGACAGAACACACCACCGCAGTGCTTTTTGACGTCGACATCGCCGTCGTCTTCATCGTAGTCGTAGTCTGCCGTCGTCGTCGTCTCTGCTCTGCTGCTGTGAGCGATAAAGAGGCGAGCACTGTGTGATTCTCTTGGACTTGTAAAAATTTCTGCTGCTTTCATTCCGTGTTGGTCTTGTGTTCGGACCGCGGGCAGAATTTTCTTATTTCGGTGGTGAAACTCTCGGTTCCGGACGATGAGCGTCGAAGCGGAAACGGCCAATTCGCAGGTTAGTACCGGGGTTAGGTTTTCATGCGGGGAAAGTAATTGCGTTTCGGAAAATTCTCGAACGAAAAACAGCTCTGCCTGTGCTCTTCGCAATGAAGGCTGAGTCCGAGACCGAGCTGGGACTTAGCGAAATTTTCAAACTGCTGCTGCAGTACATGTAGAGGCAGAGTGTTCGTACTCGCATAAAGAGAAAATGGCGTCCGGAGACTAAGTCCCACGTCGTCGAAAGCAGCAAAGAGGAAAAGTTTGAAAATTAATATCTCGCCTAGGAGGGCCCGGATCGGGCCGAAAATGGTACCGAAATTCGTTTCGCGGAAAAGTGCACCATTTGAGGCAAGGTTACTTTTTCGGTGGAAAAATTTCGACAAGTCCCCGATTTTTCCGGCACTTAGAAAAATTTTCGGATTTCATCTATCGGGGGCTGTCTGGTTGTTCTCTTTGTGCTTATGAAACGAGAAACGACGACGACTACGTCGGCATATTCAGTTCAGGTTCAACATCTCCCTTGCCGTTGCTGGTTCAGTTTCGTGTATAGAGACGGACTTTATTATATTTAGCATAGCGCGAGGAATAAGAGCCGTAGCTGGCTCGAAATTTTCACAAGTGTTGGTCGTCGTCGGTCGTTCGCTTTGCTTCGCAGCGCTGCGTTTTTTTTTTTTTCGTACAAGTCCTATATTTGTAGCGGCGTGCGGTGGTGGCAGTGGTATCGGCACTGCGATTGCGATGCCAGTACCTACCTGCCAGCATTAACATTATTATACGTTCGTCGTAGGTTGTTGGTACGATTCGTTCGTTCATATTAGGTGGCACCGTGTCGGTGGATGTCGATGGTCAGTGAAGGCACAAATAAATAAAAAACATCCATCGCTGAGAGGTTCTTGAACAATCATTTTGCTTTGCGCATTGAAATCGCAAATCGGAGGATGTTTTATGCGAGCGAGCTGCGTTACATTTCGGCTTCGAACACTTTCCACTCTGCATGTGATGTGGCTCGGTTTTGAGAAAATGATGTCTTTTTAATGGATCTTGGTGCATTTTGTGTTTGCCTCAGGAAATTACTTTTTTTTGCCTACCTGTTTATCATAATATATTATATGTTATGCCACTTTGAGACAAATCACTCCATCATTTTGACTTAAGAATAACAAATTAAATACATTTAAAAAAAAATACAAAATTCCAACTACTCACCTTTTTTGTAAGGGTAATTTTCCCTTTTTAAACAATTATTGTTAAAAAAATAAACTTAAAGTTTGAGTAGTTGAAATTTTGTTCCCTGTCCGAGATCTTTAGAATGTTCGGATTTGTAACAATTTTGGTATGTTGGAGATTCAAAAAATTGAAGAAACTGAATTAAAAAAAAAAGAGAGATGTCGACTCTTTATTCGAATTGAGTCTTTACATAAAATATACTTGTTACTTGTTGGGTTGCAGTTCTGCCGATATCGTTCGATTTCATCCACTGATCGTCGATACTTCTGGATGTGTCAGAATTATCTCTGTTCACGCTTATAATTTTTAGTGTGTACCACTGTCACTTTTGATCGCACATCACTGTGCAGCCGCTTCTTTGTTTTGTGAGGAAAACCTGTAATTTCTATTTAGCCATTACACCTTTCCACGAATCAACAACCGACCGAACTCCACATCCCCATCCTTGAACCGAATATTTCAGTCCAGACTGAATCCACATGTTTATTGGAACGGCGTCTGGCAAACAATTCCAATCACCGACGGCGGAAGTCGACCCACGCAGGAAGGTAAAAGTGGTGTCTTGGTGGATCCCAGGCAGTGGCAGCTGATCAAATGCTAGCAACTACATCGGACAAAACAAGACCGTTACAAGGATCCAGAAAAATGCACCTCTCAGTGTTAGAATTGACCGCCAGCGCCAGAAGAAACTCATCCACCCTCGGAGGCAAGTCAGCATATCCGAACTCCTTGCACTCCGTAGGGAATCTCCTGGGAAATTCGACTGCTCGCTCCTCTGTCTCCGGTCCATCACCACAGGCCCCTGCGTGAATCGGAACTGCCACGCCTCGCAAATCCTTACCAAGACCACTCCCCGGTTGGCAACGCATCAGCAGCAGAAGCCTTGCTCCGACACTTATCGTATGTCTCTCGTCAAACCGGGACCGATTGATTGTCATCGTCCTCTCTTTCCTCCTTCCTGACCGCTGAACTCCCCCTGCAACGTACCCAATCGAAGCCGAACAATCCTGTGGCTTTCCATCGACCCAACACCACGATCGCGCCGGAACGAACCCGCCTCTCGTAGTGCTCTGTTTCACAATCATCATCCTCATCGGATGCACCTGCTCGGGCTGAACCAGTTCACCAGGTTTTGTTTGGTGATCTCGAAGCGCCCGCACTCCTCATCGATCACTGAAGCAATCCATCTCAACATTTGGAATCGTAATCTGTCTAATTGAAGCCGTTTGGCCGCATACATATTTGTTCAATGCCACGAACTCAGCTTCCGTGGAGGATAACGCCTCACAGATCTGTTAGCGCCTCCTCCCAGTCGAATCAAGTTGCCTGCCCAGTTCTGCCATGTACGGTCGCAGATAGATCTTAAGTGCCTCATGGTCTCTTGTCAGTCCAGGAGCGTCGGACTGCAACGTACAGCAGACCACCGATTGGACTCCGATATTGAGTATTGTTTGGCAGACGTGTATCAAGATCTAACGCTATATTTGGCGACTTGGGCTGCTTCAGGATGTAGGAACTGTTTCTGGTTGAGCTTGAAACCGTTGCCATCCCATTAATTCCGATGCCTAGGAAATGCTTTGCGTCGCCGAGTTCTGTTAAATTGCCTTAAACTCCTCCTCCTGTCATCGGCATATATCAGCACACAGATTTACTATAGTCGCTAAATGTATGGTCTGGCGGAGAGCGAGACAGGGAACCAATTCAAGATATTGACGACCAACAAATGAAAAGGGATTCAAGTCACTTATGGTGCTGTTTTGCGTAAGTGAGCTTTGAATCGCGAGAAAAGTGTTTCCGGAATTGCGGTCTCAATACCTGATAATGCTCTTTCCAGTTGCCGGTCGTGATATGTTCGATTGGTTTCGCTATTTGACAGCTCAATTGGTTTGTCGCATCTAGAGACATGAATCCACTGACGAAGGCTTGAATCTCATCTTCCGGAACACGATGGCGGAGATGCTTCAGGCGACAACCGTACTTGGACAGATGCCTCGGCTGTTGGCGCTCCAATCGATGTGGATTTCTCCGTTGGAACTCCAAGCATTGTTGACGTCTGCTAGGCAACTGTGGATGATGATGGTTGAAGTAGTAGTAGATTCGGATGCTTTTTTCGTTGTTCTGTTGGTCATCAGGATAGGGTGACCAGTGAAGCGGTTAGTCGAGAAAATATATACTTCGTATTTTCTTTGAAAAAATCATCAGATTTCAACGCTTAGGATGTACTAGGATATAGTCGCTTTGAAGAACTCAAGATAGAGCTGGAATTAGGGCGTAACAGCTTTCATAAACAATGTCTTCTTTCGATGATGTCTTGAAAGTCAAGGCTCGCCCACGCACATCAACATCACCATCAGGTAAGGTAAGACTTCCCCTACCCGATGGTAATGTTGGTTTGCGTGGGCGTGCCTTGAATTCCTAGATATCATCGGGAGACGTCATTGTTTACATTTGAAAATTTTTCAAACGTATATTCTAAGTCCATGTAAACAAATCACTGTCAGATGCCACAAAAAAAGTAAACTCCCTTTTTCAGAGAATATCTTCTAGGAAGTTTTAGGAAAAACTCCAGAAGAGTTTTGACTAGAACTCCCAAGTCAATTGAGTGAATTCAGAGTAAAACATTCAAGTAGCTCTCTGGAAAATTCCATGATGATTCTGAAGAGGATTTCAGAATTTGTGAAAAATACAGAGGCAATCGAATTTTGAGGATAATTTCAGCCGCATTTCGGAAATAATTTCGCAAGAATTCAAGACCAACAATTGAAAAGGCCTCAACTCCATTTTGTAAACAAACCTTGTAAGGCCATTTTCTCGCGAACCGAAACCTATATTCGCAAACCTAAAAACACAATGGTTAAGAGGAGAATTTCCCCTACCTGTTCATTTTGTTGGTTTGCGTTGGTGGACTTTGGTTCGCTACAAAATGACCTTACAAGGTTTGTTTACAAAATGGAGTTGGTTGTTGGGAGGAAAACTTCAAGATAATTCTGAGCAAAATTTGAAAACAATTCTCGACGGGAGAAGTTCCCCTGCTCGTGTTGACAGGGAAAAGGGATTACAAGTTTTGCTCACAAAATCTGATAGGCCCTTTTCAAATGTTGGTCGAGAATTATAAAGGGAATTCTACGGAGAATTCAATTGAATTTAACAAAAATTGAAGCTCCAGTGAATTCTTTGAAAGAGTTTCTCTAGATGAAGCATTGTTTACAAAAGCTTTTAGGCCCTTTTTCCAGCTCTGCATTGATATTCATTATACGATCATTATTATTATTATCGAAATTTCATTGGAGCTCTCCTTAGAATTCTATTTGAATGATTGATTTGCATAGTCCGTTGAGGACCACCGGTCTAATCAGCGTCTTGTAGATAGTCAACTTCGTGCGGTGGCGAATTGTATTCCTCCGGAGTCCAAAGAAAGCTCGACTCCCTGCCATAATGCTTCTATGAATGTCTCTGCTGGTATCATTTTCGGCGGTCACCAGTGCGCCAAATACACGAACTCGTCGACCATCTCGATTTCGTCATCATCAATCTAAACTCGGAGTGGGAGGCTAACATTGTCTTCCCTAGAACCTCTTCCTCTCATGTATTTCGTCTTCGGATGCGTTGATGGCAAGCCAATCCGCCTAACCTCTGCCTTCAGTCTGATGTACGTTTCCGCCATCGTCTCAAAGTTCCGTGCCATGATGTCGATGTCATCGGCGAAGCCAACAAGTTGGATGGACTTCCTGAAGACCGTGCCAGCATGAGATTTCAGGAACAAGTGAAATTCGTGCTAGTTGATTAAGCTGGTTGAGCTAGTCAACTAGCATAAGTGTAACAGTCCATTCACATCAGACATGATGAAAGCCCATCAGCTTGCAGTAACCCCCTTCGAGATTCAAAGGGACTCGAGAGTGTCCCCGATACTCGAACAACGCACATCACTCGATCCATCGTTGACCAATCGCTTCAGTTTATTCGGAAATCCGTACTCGTGCATAATCTGTCATAGCTGATCTCGATCGATTGTGTCGTATGCGGATTTGAAATCGATGAACACATTTGTGGGCACGTTGTACTCGCTTTCTGACAGTCAGAATATCCCGCAACCGCAGCAGAGTCATCTTACCTTCCCTGCAGCAATCGCAGTTCAGAATAATTGACTTTGATATTTTGCAAATTTCTCCAGTGAACACCACATTAGCACCCTTTTCGACCATCGCAAGTGAACCTCTTAACGGGGAAACCACTATGCAGAGCGTTTGAAGTAGCTTTTGGAACCAAGTGGTAGTTTGAGTACTTGACAGTTGAGAGGTGGGCAAAATACGCATATTTGTCAAAAGATAAGAAATTCTAAAACATGGCACAGTGACAGTTCCATTCCCGGACTAGGAATGTTTCGAGTTGGAAAATTTCTCGACTTCCCTGGGCATAGAGTAGTAGATATGATCGTACTTGCCACACAATTATACCAATGCAAAAATGGTACAGGCATCGAAAGCTCTCAAATAATAACTATGGAAGTGCATCTAGAACACACGTTGAGAGCACGCAATAAGCTAATATGCGATAAACAATAAGCTTGAAATGCGAAGAAGAAGATGTTCGATTTTCGAGTCCGTGCTAGGGATGCAGCAGATAGTTGTTTTACAACCAAATGACAACATTTTTCCAATTTATCTTCCATATGCATCCACAAAACAATCTGGTAACGTTTCCAACAATCTTTACTTTTTCAGGAGGATTCCGCCAAATCGGTGAACGGGTCCAACCTGCAGAATGGAGTAAGCAACGGCCATTCCGAGGGTTCCGGTGGCGGTGGTGGTGCGGCTGGTGGCACCAGTGATGATCGCCACAAGAGTCACAAAAGCTCCAGCAAGGACAAACACCGGGACAAGGATCGGAGCCGCTCGGATCGCGACAAGGACAAGGAACGATCGAAGGATAAAGATCGCGATCGGGACAAGCACAAGAGCAGCTCGTCCTCGTCAAAGTAGGTTTACCTTTCGTTTCAGGCGCTCGTTGAGATAACATTATGTTCTTGCTCATTTTAGGGACAAGGATCGCGACAAGGACAAGTCCAGCAGCAGTAGCAGCAAGAACAAGGATCGCGACCGTCACAGCAGTTCGCACAAGAGCTCAAAAAGTGACAAGGATCGCGACAAGGACAAGGAACGCTCGAAGGATAAGGACAAGGACAAGGACCGGTCAAGGGACAAGGACAGGGAGCGGGAGAAGGATAAGGAACGATCCAAGGACAAGGATCGCGAGAAGGACAGGAAGGATCGCGACAAGGAGAAGTCCAGCAGCGGCAGCAGCAGTAAGGACAAGGATCGCGACAAGCACAAGAGCAGTTCTTCGTCGTCCCGCGACAAGGACAGGGATCGCGAGAAAGATAAGCATAAGAGCAGTAGCAGTAGCAGCAAGGATAAAGACAAACATTCCAGCAGCAGTAGCAGCAAGGACAAAGACAAGGATCGAAAGGATCGCGATCGCAGCGACAAACATTCGTCGTCGAAGGATAAGGATCGCGAGAAAAAAGAAAAGGTGAAAGAGGAACCTGTAGAGCTGAAGCAGGAAGTGCCGGAGGTGAAGCAAGAGGAACCGGCAACGTTTTTCAACGGCACCGCTAGCAATGAGTCATCGCAGGATGTATCAGTGTATAAACCAGAGGATCCTCTATGCATATCCCAGGCTAGCTCGTGCGATTATTCTATGTCTCAATTCCGTCAGGATGAGACACAGTTCGTCATCAAAGAGGAAGCCTCCGATCCAGATCGCGAAGAAGAGGAACCAGCAGAGCGCGAGGAACAGCCAAGCCAACTGGAAGTCAAGCTTGAATCGGATTCCGAAGATGATGTTCCGCTGTCCAAGCGCAAGAAGAAGGACGACGATGACAACTTTGATGCCGGTAACAAGAAGAAGAAGATAAAGACCGAGAAGAAGGACAAGAAGGATAAGAAAAAGAAGAAGCGCGCATACGAATCCGAAGCGGAGGAACCCGAGGAGGAGCAGGAAGAGTACGAAGACGTGGTTGCTCCGAAGAAGAAGCAGGCAAAGAAAGTCAAAAAGGAGTCCAAGACCAAGGTGAATGAACTTTTGCGGTTTTGTTTACGTTTTTCTCTCTCTCTCTCTCTTTGTTCTGACTCAAGCCGAGAGAGTGCATGCAAATGATTCACCTTATGCTAATGATGGGTGCTTTTCTTGTTTTGTTTTCTATTTTGGATTCTACCTGAATCGTATCGCGTGCAGGTCAAGACCGTGGTGAAGCAAGAGCCTGTCTCCAGTCCCCAGAAGGGTCGCAAGAAGAAGGTGGAAGAGGTGGAGGAAGTCTGGAAATGGTACGTATGGCAGTTTTGCTTATTAGTCATGCAGCAACAGTAGTTTTCTCCAGGCGCAAATTTATTGCTGTTAACAAACCGGTTGGATTAGTGCACTTTTTAAAGAACTCTTGTACGTACGATCATGCAGTAGTATTCGTGAGCATAACCTTGGAGAAGTCTATGGATCAAAAGTCTGATCGTAGGTGGACATTTTTAAAGGTTTGCGTTGGGTAATCTGCGCATGGTTTTCCGATTTAGTTCCAGTGCTCACCACTGGTGGCACGTGGCGCTGTAGTCGATGAAAGTTGTTTGACAGCCGGTCGCGATTTGACGTTTTGAAATGTCAGTCTTACCGGCGCAGTGATTGACATGTGTTGTTGTTCGCTGGTTTTGCCTGCATGAGAGCACAAATTTTCGGTGGAAAAGTTCGCAGTTTTATGTTATGTAATCGGTGAAAGTGGGTTCATTTTAATGTGGACTGCTGTTCGCATCACATGGCGAACAGTTTACTGCCAAAAATCGGTGGAAGCATGCCTACGATTCGAGGTGATCAGGCGACATTCCAAGCCTATTTACACCACAGCAGCAAGAGTGTTGCTCACGCTGAAAAGGTAAACTACCTACCAGTTTATTGCACACCGTCATTGTTTGTGGGTAAAATTATGTATGGATAGCTTTTAGGAGCTGAATCACTTTCTGATCTCGATGTCATGCCTACTTCAAGTTGCTTACAATACGCCGAGTCCTTCTCAGTCAGTTTGTCAGTTCTAGATAGAGCTGGAATTAGGGCGTAACAGCTTTTGTAAACAATGGCTTCTTTCGATAATTTCTAGAAAGTTAAGGTTCGCCAACGCAAATTAACAACACGCCCTAATTCCAGCTCTATCTAGAGTTGATGTTTAATGTCAAAATGTCCGTTTTTCTGCTGCATGAGATACTTCGATTCGTCCCATTCGCAACTAACTTAATTTCCTATGCTTCCCTATCGCCGATTCCAGGTGGGAGGAGGAAAAGCGCGAAGATGGTGTCAAGTGGAACAAACTGGAGCACAAGGGCCCGGTTTTTGCACCACCGTACGAGCCCCTGCCGGACCACATCAAGTTCGAGTACGACGGCAAGGTAATGAAGCTGTCGCAGGATGCGGAGGAGATTGCCGGTTTCTACGCCCGCATGTTGGAGCATGAGTACACCTCGAAGGATATATTCAATGACAACTTCTTCAAAGACTGGCGCAAGTCGATGACCTCGGCCGAGCGCGATAAGATCAAGGATCTCAAAAAATGCAACTTCCGGTACATGTATAGACACTTTTCCGAAATTTCCGAACAGAACCGGAACCGTACCAAGGAACAGAAGCTGAAAATCAAGGAAGAGAACGAAGCACTGATGAAGGAATACGGCACGTGTATCATCGATGGGCACAAGGAGAAGATCGCCAACTTCCGCATTGAACCTCCGGGTTTGTTCCGTGGCCGTGGTGAGCATCCGAAGATGGGTATGGTGAAGAGGCGTGTAATGCCCGGGGATGTGATCATCAACTGCTCGAAGGAAAGTACGTTTCCAAAGGCACCGGATGGAAATCGCTGGAAAGAGGTCCGTCATGATAATACGGTCTCGTGGTTGGCGTCCTGGACGGAGAACGTTCAAGGTCAGGTCAAGTATGTCATGTTGAATCCCAGCTCAAAGTTGAAGGGCGAGAAGGATTGGCAAAAGTACGAAACCGCTCGACGACTCCTGAAGCACATCGACAAAATCCGAGACACCTACCGCGAGGAATGGAAGAGCAAAGAGATGAGAATACGACAGCGCGCCGTGGCTATGTACTTCATCGATAAGCTCGCGCTGAGAGCGGGTAACGAAAAGGACGAAGATCAAGCCGATACCGTCGGTTGCTGTTCGCTCCGCGTGGAACACATCGAGCTGCACAAGGAACTCAACGGTAAAGAGAACGTGGTGGCGTTCGATTTCCTCGGTAAGGATTCCATTCGGTACTATAACGAGGTGGAGGTCGAGAAGCGAGTCTTTAAAAATCTGGAACTGTTTAAGGAGAACAAGAAACCGGGCGACGATCTGTTCGATCGGTTAAACACCTCCGTACTGAACGAGCATTTGCGAGAACTGATGGAAGGTACGTTCACTGCTATCAATCAATCAGTCTTCAAATCCAACTAACCGATTTTTAAACATTCAGGACTGACCGCCAAGGTATTCCGTACGTTCAACGCGTCATTCACGCTGCAAAATCAGCTGGCCGAGCTGACCGATCCGGACATGACCGTGCCGGAGATGCTGCTAGCGTATAACCGAGCGAACCGTGCCGTCGCCATTCTCTGTAACCATCAACGGGCCGTACCGAAGACGCACGAGAAGAGCATGAGCAATCTGAAGGAGAAGATTCGTATGAAGCACGATGCGATAGATACCTGCGAGCGGGAATTGAAGGTGAGTGGTGGGGGTAACCTTTGTTTTCGGGGGTTTATGTGAGGGCAGGGTTGCCATGGCAGTCATTTGGGTTTAGCCGCATATATTTCGTTCTCTGAAGATGCTCCTTGTTTAAGGTTTCACTATTATACACATGCACTAAGGCATGCGAGTTTCTGCAAGAGTTCTTCCGCAGATTTTCGGATATCCGCTTCAACTCCTTCTCTGTCTAGGTGGTAATTACTAACTATGACATCAACCCACGTAGATCGAAATGTATTTTTTTTTTTCACCCTTGTTCCTCACGTACAGGCAAGGGTCAGTCTTGGCCGGCATTGATCACGTTTTACTAAACGGTACTCAAAATTGCTCAGTGCATGAGTAACCCCGGTTTTTGTCAAAGAAAATTAAATTCGACTCAATTTTGAGCTAGCCTCAGTGTTTGTGTGTTATTGAAACTATTTAAGGTTTCCAAATTTTCTCTGAAGCTCCTGCAAGTTATGTAATGTTTCCAAATCTTAATCGACACTCGCATATTTTTTTTACAATTTCTCTCAACATCTTCTTCTTTTTCTAGTTGATTGAACCTGTTTGGAATTCACTGATCCTTTCTGAAGATCGCTGATTTTTTCTGGACGTTCCTTAGCTAAATTGTCTGAAGTTCGTTGAAATGCTTTGAGGCTCGCTAAATAGTTTGGAAGTTCACTGATCTTTTATTTGAAATTCGGTGATCCTTTTCTGAAATTTCCTGACCTTCTCTAGAAGTCACTCGACATCTCTGATATTAGTTGGAATGCTCTAAAGTTCGCTTAATTTCTCCCAAGTTTACTAAACTTGTTTGAAATTCGATAATCTTTTCAGAAGATCGCATTGAGAGCGAACTCGTCTTCTCTAGAAGTCGCTGGACATCTCTGATGTTCGTTGGAAGGGTTTTGAAGTACGCTAATTTTCCCTGCGGTTCACTGAACTTGTTTTCAATTCGCTCGGAAAATCACTGAACTTTTCTAGGATCCGCTAGAAAACTTCTCAGAAATTCATTCCAAAGCTGGTTGTTTTATTTCTGGAGTTTATGGAGTTAAGTTATAGAGACATTCAGAGAACTTGTTTTGTTGAACTTTTGAGAGTTTGGATGAGGGCCTCCAGGTTAAGCCGTGAGGTTTTTGATAGCGGATCATAAATTTTCCCGGAATATTTTAAATGCAAAGTTTCGAAAGCTACACTCTCGATCATAAGTTTAAGGACACCCCCAAAAAAACATGACAAATATTGAATGGAACTTTCCTCGTAGGCAATTTATTTCAAAATAATTTCCAAATTTTGTGTGCTAAAAGTTACCCATAGTTACAATATTTTTCAAAAATTTACTCTGAAGAATCGTGACTGATTTTCTCAGAATTGGGTTGGCCAAAATTTTGAAATAAAAGTAGTAGTAGAACACTTATGCTATACCATTGATACCATTCAAATAACCTTTTGAGATCGAATATTGAACGTAAAATGAGAGATCATTGAACAAAACATATTTGCATGGTTTTTTTGGGGGTGTCCTTAAACTTATGATCGGTAGTGTATATCAAGGTAAGATCGGAAGGTTTCTATGGTAAGTTACGAGAAGGGCCTTTCAGGACTAGACCCGCTAAAACAAATTCAGAAAATTCAATAAACCATGCTCCCAAACCAAGTTTCAAAGAGAATTTTCTGGATTAGAGCTCTGGAAATCTTCGCGACAAGGCCAAAAAAGCTCCATTCTCAGGCCAGTTGCCTAGCCCTTACTGTGTGCGGACGAGTAATACTACGGCAGAGAAAAAAAGGTGTGTTTTTTTTTTTTTACTTTTTCCGGACACCCGTTCGATGAGTTTTGCTACTAGGAACACAACACAAACATGGTCAACCGCCAACTATTCGTGATTGACTTCAGTGTCATGCCAGCAAACCCCAAACCGTCCCGAGTGGACTTTTTCATTCCGAAAGATGTTCAGCTTGATTGGAGCAAAGTGCGAGGATTGCAGCTCAACAACATCACATCGTACGTATTCATCAAGATGGATACAATAGAATCTGCAGAACAATTCGCTGAAGAGCACAACCTCAACGATGGAGTACAAAGACATCACCTACCGTATTCCGTTCTTCATTGCCGGTGGAGCAACGGATGTTAAGCTGCATGATTTGCCGTTTGATATGCCAAACCATATTATCGCGGAACAGATGACGCAGTTTGGTGAGGTGTTGTCGATAAAAGATGACTACTGGAGGAACCTTTTCAACAAGGTTCCTAATGGAGTGAGAGTAGTTCGAATGCGCATTTCTAAACCCATTCCGTCGTATGTGACAATATCCGCAGATATCTCACATATGACCCAAGACTACCGAAAGCAAGAGGCCTTCCAGGTCTAAAAATCGTCATTAAAATGGTTCTAAAAGGCTACAACCATCAATATAAACAATATTACAAACCCCACGAAACTCGCTGCTTTGCAAACATTTATACGATCAGCTGAACTTGACGTGATATTCCTGCAGGAGGTGGAAAATATGCTGTTGGAGTTACCTGGATTTGACACGATTTTCAATGTAGATGAGCGACGAAGGGGAACTGGAATTGCAGTCAAGCAGCTGCTCCAATACCAAAATGTACATCGTAGTCTAGATTCCCGTTTGATCTCTCTCCAGATAGGGCAGGTCACCTTTGTGAATGTTTATGCTCTATCTGGTTCACAAAACAGAAGTAACCGCGAAAGCTTCTTTAATTCCATCGTGCCATTTTACTTGCAACGGGCATCTAATTATATAATATTTGGAGGTGACTTCAATTGCGTGGTGAACGAAAGGGATGCAATCGGCTCCGGTAACCAGAGTCCAACGTTGAAACGATTGATGACTTCAATTAAAAACTCACCGATACGTGGACAAATCTGAATGGAACTCGAGTAGAATATTCATTACTGCGTCACGATTGGACAGGATTCTGGTAGGCGCAACCACATGCGGGGATGGCTAAGGAATGCTTACTTCTGCACTACTGCTTTCACCGATCACAAGGCTTACATCGTATGAATAGTTTTACCGGACCTTGGCACATCAACTGGTAGAGATGTGTGGAGTCTTTTTACGAAAATTTTGGACGAACCTGAAGCATTCCCCGAACTTGAACGAAAATGGATATACTGGGTCCGAAACAGAAGGCATTATGCAACATGGATGGATTGGTGGATCACTTTTTGTAAGCCGAAACTGATTTCCTTTCTCAAATGGAAAACATCGCTGCTCTTCAATGATTTTCGTGGAACCATGGAAATTTATCAAACTCAGCTTTCGCACGTGGTTCATCGATTTCCTGGAAATCCGCACGAACGTTCTAACATCAATTGCATCAAGGGACAAATTCTTCAACTACAGCGAAATTTCTCAACAAAGCTCCGAAGGAACGATTCATCTTATATAGGTGGTGAGCAGACAAGCCTGTTTCATCTAAACGAGCGGTCAACACGCAAAGCACGAACAAGCATTAACTTGCTCGAACTTCGAGATGGCAACGTTACCATGGATATAAATAAAATTCATGCTGAAGTCTCCCGTTTCTTCAATCAACTGTATGCTGCTGGTGAAACCCATAATACTGTGAGGTTTTTGCCGACTAGAAGTATCCCAAATGATATCGAGAATAACATATCGATCATGAGAAATGTTGAGGAGGAGGAGGAGGTCTTCGCTGCAATTAAATCGAGCTGCTCAAAAAAAAAATCCCCAGGCATTGACGGATTACCCAAGGAATTTTACCTGAAATGCTGGAGGATAATTTCGTGGGAATTCACACTTGTCATAAACGACGCCTTGTCAGGTAACGCTCCCAAAAACTTTCTTGAAGGTATATTAGTTCTTGTACGGAACAGGGGTAACAAAAAAGATATGTCCGCCTTTCGTCCCATTTCTTTGTTAAATTTTGACTTCAAACCCGTCTCGCGTATCCTGAAGCAACGCGTGGAAAAACTTTTTCCACTGGTGGTATCCGCTGATCAGAAGTGTTCCAAAACTATCTTCGAAGCAACGACAAAAATCTGGGATAGGATATCTGAATTGAAGCACCGACATCAGAACGCGCTGCTAGTTTCGTTTGATCTGGACCACGCGTTTGATCGCGTTGATCATTCATTTCTTCAGCAAACAATGTGTTACATAATTCCCGGCCGGGTAGAGCTAAAACTACCATCAACTATGAGACTCTCAAAGGTCTCCCTGCTACCTTTCTTTTCTACTCTACTGTTGATAATTTACATAAAGGTTTCACTACTCACTGATGGGCCCATCATTGTTGTTCGGCTGCTGCTGCTTATGGGTGCACCGGTGCTATCGATGTCGTTCGGAGGCATGCATTCTGTCGTCGGACGTGGAGGCGCATCGCGTACTTGTCCCTTCATGCGAACACGCAATAGCCCGACCGAGCGGGCCCGTCCGGTGATCTTCAACAATCCGGGCGTATGCGCTCGAGTTTTCCGCCTACTGCTTCTGCTGTCGTTGGTAGCCGTTTCGACGTATGATCCTCACTCAGATAGCACAGCCGGATTGCCTACGCCTATACACCGCTGCCTGCTTCGGCCGTCGCTGACCGCTCCTTGAGCTACTCTGTCGACCGGCCCGTTACCGCCTGACTTGGATGTCGAACGTATGGCGTCTCTCTTCGATCGTCAACCAGGACACTCGTATCGATCCCGACTGGCCGAAAGGTTGACCCTCGACTCCTGTCCTTGCTCGTATGCACAATCGTTTCAGCTCCTCCTTCCGTCACTGGTGTGCCAGCTTGTTTAGTGGGTGGTCGTATCGGTCTGAAGGTTTCCCCGATCCTCTCCCGGTCGGCTAGCAACTGCCCGGATGTTGACCGTGCCCACAGACGGTCTCGCTCTGTTTTTCGTCCCTCGCGTCGCACACCGGACACCGCCGCACTAAACGGAAAGATGAAAATCAAGAAGAAAGGCCCTGTGGCAAACTAGGGTTAGGTTTAGGCTCATCTCACACGAAATTTAACGGCCTCCCTCTTTCGAAGGCCTTTCTTGGTGCCAAATCTGTTCGGAGCTAGAACGATTTGCCTTGTGTGCCCCTCTCTGGTTCGTTTTGTATCCTCCGACGGCGTGAAGGTGGATGCGGTGCATATTATCTTCCACCGATCTATCGGAAGACAGTAACAAACGCTGTATTAGTCGGGCTATCCAGAGTGAGGCATATTTTACACTCACCGTGCACTTTTTCCCCGTGTGCGTCTGGGAAGGGGTAAAATCCAGCCGGTTGTGGGAGTTTTTCTTCCTTTGCTCCGTGCGAGTGCAGCACCTCGATCTGCATGGAAAATGCAAATGGGGTTATCATGGCGCTCATGCAGAAAATCATCTGCTATTACCTGATTCGTATCTCCAACGCCACACAGAGTTCGATCGGAACGGGTGTTATCTCGCAGCACTAGTTGTTCGCCACCGAAATTTCTATCGTCGCTACCAGCGACTACCCGCGAGTTGCTTTTTTCACTCCATTTTCTCCGGGAACTGTTTTCCGGACACCAGCAGCGAATTTTTTCCCACGGATAACCAGCGAAAACGCGACTAATCGGTGGGAGCACCAAAACGATTTTGCCTCTCTGTGTACTTTTCCTTTTGTCTGCTTCGTTCCTCTTTTGGATTCAGCGGAAACTGAGCTGAATGGCTGCACTTAGCACTCTCACGGGTGCAAGATAATCCATAGCATTGAGTCCGGTTTCAATCGGTGCACCCCTGCAGCATCTGTTTACGCTGTTCAGCCTACACTGAAAGCTTTTTCCTTCTACTTTTGCTTTATGTTTTATTAACTATATTGTTGACTAACGTTAACTTAACTAAACGTAACAAATGTTAAGAGTGAATTTCAATCCGGCACTAGTAGAACTCATCAAAAAGTTCATGGAGAATTCTTTTTCGAGGATATTAGTGAATGGTCATCTAACTCCCGAAATCCACATCCAGCGTTCGGTCCGTCAAGGAGATCCCTTGTCAATGTTACTTTTTGTACTGTATATGCAACCTCTATTGGACGTATTAAGACGAGCTTTTCCTGGTGTGATAATTAATGCTTACGCAGATGACATCTCGATGTTCCTGGAAAACGAAGAAATGTTAGTGCAAGTCTCTGAGCTGTTCACAAACTTTGGAGAAGAAGCAGGAGCAATTCTCAACCGAAGCAAAACTGTGGGTTTAATGATAGGCAACATCAACTTAACTGAAGCTACCGAGTGTCTCTCAATTGAGAACCACGTCAAGATCCTGGGTATCTTTTATTGCGAGAATACCCGAACTGCCAGAGATCTCAACTGGAATTCGATCTTATCGGTTACGAAATAGCGGATTTGGGAACAAAGTCCCAGAAACTTGCCACTTACTCTAAGAGTGACACTACTAAACACGTATGTGTGCTCAAAAATGTGGTACGTGGCCTCTATCGTGTACTTGCCAAAAAACTACGAAGCTTCCTAAAAACCGTGGTGGTTTAAACCTACACTCTCCAGCGTTGAAATCAAAAGCTCTTCTACTGAATCGATTGGTAAAGTCATTGGATCAACTTACACTGTTAGCCGATTTTCTGGAAGGATCTGGGTAATCCACCGAACGTCCCAAGTATCCCTGCAGAATTTCAGCATACTAGGTTGGCATTGCAGGAAATGTCATACCTCTCCTCAATCTTTTGGAGTACCTGACGGCGAGTGGTTTGTACCAACATTACCTTTCGCTGCTTCCGGATCCACCGATCTTCATCGACTCGCAGATAAACTGGAAAACGGTCTTTAAAAACATTCACTCCATCCTGCTTCCAGCGCCAAAATCCAACAATCGACCCATTATGTGCCTTATGTCCAGGAGAAATTGACACTATCGTTCATCGCATCTTCAAGTGCACAAGGAGTCGTAATGTCTGGTTCTATCAGAAGTCTTTATTAGCTCATCTAGACCCTAGGCTTCGTCGCATGAAACCAGAAAAGTTTATGTATCCAGTCTTCTCAACATTTACAAGAGTAACGAGGCTCGGTACCTCAGTGGTTACCGTTTCTGCTTACTTAGCAGAAGGTCGGGAGTTCAATCCCAGGCCCGTCCCCCCTTCTTTGCAATTTTTCACTATGCCTTATTCTATACCCACTAGATTTTAATGAAAACAAATACTTCTTTAACGCCGATCGCATCACTTACCACAGTGTGGGTCCTGATCTAAAAATAGAAATTGGATGAGTGAGTGCGTGCGCGCGTGTGTGTGTGTGTGTTTGTGTATTATAATCGCCCTACCAAAAAACGATCCCTGCGTGTGCGCGCAACCTTTCCCCACATCCAACATCCCAGTGATTTCTCGTGGAAGCGCAGAGGATTTCTCGGTTTCCTTCACAGCGAGTACCACGTCAACACATTCCTTCCCATTCCCTTGTTGACCTGCATTCGGACACGGCCGGCGCTGGTATTGCTAAATATTAGATCTCCAGTTCTTTACACATTGAGGATGAATGTTAGTCCCAAACATCATCTGTTGGTTCTCTGTGTAATTGCAGCTGATCTGGTAATAACAGAGCAGCAACCGTGGGCGGTCAATCATGCTCATGCTGCCAGTCTTCTCAACATTTACAAGAGCAACAAATCAATCTTTGATTAAACAGTTAGGCAAAATGTTCCTTTATTTAGTTAATACAAATTTTGCAGATGTAAGCGTCGAAAACTTTAGAATTTTTATAGAATATATCAGGCATAACATTTGATAACGGCACAAAAGCATTTGTAAACAGGGTGCCTTCCATTCATTTTGACTAAAAAAATGTTTTATGAAATTATGGAATAATAGGATATTATGATGATATTTTGTATGTGTAAGTAATAAGAAAAGACTGTAAAGTTTGTTTTTCACACATCAAACCTGCAAATTTAGCTTTGACAGAGTCACAATGAGCGTTTTTCTGATCGCCTCTTCGTGAAGAGTGAAGAGCGAAGAGTGGGTGAGATAAATTACAAAATCGCTTATTGCGACTCTCATGTAGCAAAATTGGCAGGTATTATGTGTCAAACATAAACTTAACAATCTTTTCTTGTGGTTTACATAATCAAAATATTTTCATAATATCTTATTATTCCATAATTTCTTAAAAAAAATTTTAGTTAAAATGAATGGAAGGCACCCTGTTTGTAAACAAACTTTCTAAGGCCCATTACACGTGAACCAAAGTACGCCCACGCAAACCAATACCACTTTCGGAAAGGTGATAGTTGCCCCTATCCGATGATGTTGTTGGTTTGCGTGTAAAGGGCCTTAGAAAGTTTGTTTACAAATGCTTTTGTGCCGTTATCAAATGTTATGCCTGATATGTAACTTTAATATAACTGACAATAAAACATGAAGATATTATAAAAAAAAAATCTCAGGTGAACTCAGATGACTTCGAAAGCAAGTGTTTCGAAAGCATAACACCCATGACTCATCATTTCGCCTTCTTGCCTCTCTTTTCTCCACCATGCAGGACCTGAAGAAGAGCTCGGTTCGGGACAAGGTCGCCCGCGATAAGAAGCAGAAACAGCTGGAACGCCTGAAGGAGCAATTACAGAAGCTCGAACTACAAGAGACTGATAGGGACGAGAACAAGACGATTGCCCTCGGCACGTCCAAGTTGAACTATCTCGATCCCCGTATTTCCGTAGCATGGTAAGTCATTGGAAGGATGTCTAAGTAGGAACTGAACTAATTCTCGATTTTCTTTTTTTTTCCCACAGGTGCAAGAAGTTCAACGTCCCGATCGAAAAAATCTTCAACAAAACGCAACGGGACAAGTTTCGGTGGGCCATCGACATGGCCGATGAGACCTACATATTCTAAGCTCGAAAGTAGCGATATCCACCAATCGTGGGATATTGTAAAATTTACCCTGGCAAATGTGTATAATGTTTCGTTTTTAGAATCATGAACCGTTTTTAAAACTTGCGTTCCGTTTTTATTTCCCCCACGGTAGCTACCACTCCCATTTTCCGTCTAGCATGTGTAATAACATTGACTATGTAGGTTAGTAGGGCATAACACAGTAGTAGAAGAGGGGGATCCCTCTTCCTCTTCCTAATCAATAGCGCCGTCAGTCAGACATATACAGAGTCAGAGATAGATAGAGAGAGAGAGCAGAGTAAAATTCAATTTGTAAAAAGTAAATTTTTATTTATTTGAAGAATATATATTGAACGATACAAAGTACATACCCCTAGCGGGTTCGCTGGAATTGGACGCGATTTTCTTGTTTTATTTTGTTCAGAATCGTACCGCTCGCCTTCTTCCATTGCTGGGAAGCAAGATAGGTAGTTAGAAGTTTTAAATGATAGTTTTGTTTTTAAAGTGAAATTTGCATTTTCTCGAAGGGTTCTTGAAAATACCTTTCCATTTCATCACTTCGTCCCCGACAAGGGGGGTCGAGGTTCAAACACAAATACATACCTACCCATGCCAAGCGACTGGACAACAACAACTTTCGCTCTTTATTTATTTAAATTGGTGAAAAACAGTTAAAGCCGAGAACACCCTTAGCTGACATTTCCCTTTTTTACCTTGAATTAAGTCAATGTTTGTTTCATACGTTTTCCCTAGATTCTAGTAGCAGTAAATTAAATAAGTAGTAGCAATTAAATAATAATGAAAAAAAAAAGTGCAGGCGAGGAAGAAGACGCAGCAGCAGAAACTAAACGTACAGAGTGTGATTTTTTGGTGGAAAAGAGAAGTTTTGAGCCAGAACAGTTTGGATTTCCGTTGGCCATTATTGCGATCCCATTTTAAGGGAGGAAACTAAGAGTGATTTGCTTTGTGGAAGGAATGATTTAATCAAATTAGTGCCGAAAAAATCAATCGAAGATTAGAGAAAGCGTTAACTCAGTGGCAATGAAGTAATTGATAATGCAGAAAGGTAAACTTGGAAACAAACGTTCATATTTACAAAAGGCAGAAACCGTATATTCGTAGTACTAAATAATGTAGGTATTATTGAAAACTATTAATCACACACACACACACAGACACAAACATACAATACAAACAAAACAGAAAGGTCACAACCTTTCCTTACCCGTACCACTTGTAATAGTAAGACAACTCTGAAAAAAGTGCAGTAAATCGACTAGGTTTAGGCGAAAGTTTTAAGCATTAAGTGAAAGAGAAACTCCTTATCAATATAAATAAATAATTAAGTCATAGGATTGACAACTCAAGAAGATTGATTCGATAGGACGATAAACAAAAGTATCAGCATTATTGCGGACAGAGGGGAAACACTCTTGTACCGGTTTCCGGAAGATCGTTCCCTTTATGAAAGGGAACCTCCCGGAAGCCGGATCTGCTGCGATCCACGAAGCGGAATGTACACATACACACACACACACACACACACACACACACACACACACACACACACACACACACACACGCAAACACATATTGACTATTATGAAGTAAGTTAAATAACTGTAGTTGAGACATAAACCACACAAAAAGCAACTGAAATGCATTAGAAAAAAAAATAACTAAAATAAAAAGTGAACAAAAAACATTCAATTGGAAACATACATGACCATGTGCATAAATTCTTCGAAATCCATGAGAGTTACAATTTGCTGCCCCGTTAGGAAATCACCAGGAAAATAGGAAAGACTTTCGCGTATATTTCTATATTAACATTTTAACACTACACATTCTAGTTGGATATTAGAATTACAAATAATTACTTTGCTCGTTCGACGACAGCTCACAGCCGGTGGCTCACGTGGTGCTCGTAGTGCACGACCCGTTCCCCATCCAGCCAGGGATCCAACGCGGAAGAATCGTCCACGTGGCTCTTGATCGAAACGGTCCGCTTGACCGTCTGCCGTTCGTGTCCTTTGTTGCTGGCCGCCGTCACAGCTTGCTCGCCACTTTCGTCGTTCGGATCGTTTGCCGCCACCAACTTGCCCGACTGCTTCCTCAGCTTCGGTGAAGTGGGTTTCTTCTCCGGTTGGACCTTCTTGCGGCGCGGTTTCTTGGTTGGTTTGGAGTCCGAAGGCTGCTGGGTCGCTGGGGCCGGGGATGCCACCGGTGATGATGACGGAAGTACACGGGAGGAAACCTGGCGCGATTCTGAAAGGTACATGCATTCCTCGTGTTTAACGCCGTCCTTGTCGGTGCACGTGTAGCAGGTTAGTTCGTTTTTCTTACCTTTTGGGAGGGCAAAAGAAGATGAATTAGTGGCAGCGGAAAGGTGAACGCGTGTCGCTTTATTTATAGTCTGGCGGATAGAATTTCGATCTATCAAAAAGCGGAACCAATTCAATATATTGTAGACCAACAATTGAAAAGGTACTATCAACTTTTTATAAACAAAACGTTGATTTTCTTCCCTCGCCAATTACCAGCATCATCGGATAGGGGAAACTTTCCCCAACCCAAAGATGGCGTTAGTTTGCGTAGGCAAGCCTTGAGTCACGTGAAAACGGTTTCCGAAGTTTTGTTCGCAATAGCTGATGTGCTCTTTTCTGTTGTTGGTAGTTGTAAAACGTAAAATAAAGTCTGTGTTCCTAGGCAATTTCTTGTACTTCTACCAGCCCAGTGGCAGGCGCGTAGGCAACATGTTATACTGTGACAGCGGGCCCAGCACAGCAAAATAAACGATTTGAGCCCGGGACATGCTGCCTACTGTCAAACGCTGCTGTTGGTGTAGGCCTTGTCACTGGCGTGACTTCTACAGACTTCTCTGTACTATTTTCAGACTTTCCACGAAGCTCTGCAGGCTAAACACAACTATCGGTACATCGTACAATCCCCCTTATTCTGCGAGTCACGTGACTCTCTGTCACCGGTGAGGTGACAACTGTCACCTCGTGTGAGGTGACTCTCCGTGCGAATCAAATGGAGAGTCACCTCACCGGTGAGAGAGAGTCACGTGACTCGCTGAATAGGGGGGAATACCTCGTTGAGCCTGTAGAACGCCAAGAGCTGAATTTCAGGATGATTTGGGTAGGGGGAGGCAAGTATGCCACCGATTCAACACATTGTAGTTTCATTTTTATACCCATGATCTTGACTTTTTTACCTAGGGGATGAGTACTTAAGGGGGTTTGATTTTGATAAGTTCTTTAGTGGGAATGACACTGATGAAGACTGCACATTGTAGTCGAAATACGTATCTGTCATGGATACCAAAATTAATTAAGTGGAATTAAATGGAAGATAAACCCTTTTGCTGTTTTATTTAGCATTCCGCTAACAACCCAATTTCATTACTTCATTAGTTCAGATAGGCTAGACATGACAGGTTTTTAGTGAGAGAATCTACCATATGGTGTCCGTTACCTAACGATCCTGCGCACCTCCAGGGGTGCAAAGGGCCTTTGTGAAAGATTTCCATCCTGGGCGATTACTAGCTTTGGCCTTGACCTGTGCCCAAGTCAAATTTCGGTCAACATTCTTAATTTCACTGTTTAGGCTCCGCCGCCACGAGCCCCTGGGTCTGCCTCTGCTGCGATGTCCTGCTGGATTCCAGTCCAGTGCATGCTTGTAGATTTCGTTTCCGCTCCGTCGTAGTGTGTGGCCGAGCCACCTCCACTTCCGTTCACGAATTTCTGTCTCTATCGGCTTCTGATGGCACAAACAATGAAGCTCGAAATTTGAGATCCAATTGTGGGGCCACCAGGCACGAATTGATTGATAAACACCTGCAGCTTCTAAGTGTTCTCCGTTGATACACACCATGTTTCACTGGCGAATAACCAACAATCAATACGAAACTATCGATTTTAAATTGGCTTACTATTTGACTAGCACTAGCCTATTGGTCCCAAGCAAATCGATTAACGTACCCCATTATAGTCGAAATTCTAGTACTACACTATGTTTGTTTTGATTCGCTATGAAAGGTTGACAGATAAAATGAGGGGTTAGTGGATTTTCCTATGTTTCGAGGGGTGAATCGATTAGGTTGGGACCGAAGATAGTACCAGAGTTGAGCCAAAAAGTTGAGCACGTTTCTTCGGGACCTACTAGTCTTAGAGTTACCTCTATGGTATAACAGCAGAGACTTCACGTTCGAGTTTAAAATTCGGACTTTGGTGCTTCGACTGATCTGATCCGCTTTCCATACATTTCGCAAACTGACAAAAGCAGCCCTCGCCTTCTTAATCCGTGCACCTATGTCGCTCTTGGTGCTGCCGTTCGATGCTATCTGGCTGCCAAGATATTGGAAGCTTTCGACTTTCCCCACTGCCTGCCCAGCTACCGTGAAATTGGAACGGTGTTCCGTGTTGACATCCAACGATTTGGTCTTGTTGACGTTGATGGTTAGACCTGCTTCAGACGAGCGTTCTACAAGGTCGTCGAGCTTACTCTGCATGTCAGAGCGCCGTTGTGCTAATAACGCAACATCATCAGCCAAATCGAAGTCGTTGAGATGCTCCATGGTAATAGCATAGAGGTAACTCTAAGACCAGAAGGTCCCGAAGAAACTAGCTCAACTTTTTGGCTCAGCTCTGGTACTGTCTTCGGTCCCCAGCTAATCGATTCACCCCTCGAAACATAGGAAAGTCCACTAACCCCTCATTTTATCTGTCAAACTTTCATAGCGAATCAAAACAAACATTGTGTAGTACTAGAATTTCGACCAAAATGGGGTACGTTAATCGTTTGCTTGGGACCAATAGACTAGTCAAGTGGTGAGCCAATTTAAAAACGTTAGTTTCGTATTGATTGTTGGTAATAGGCTGCCACAGCAACCCACGGTTCGGTACACGGTCAACGGCTCCAACCATGATCTCGTCGATTACGATGATAAACAGTAGCGGTGATAATATACATCCTTGCCTCACACCCGCGATTACCCGAATCGGGTCAGACAAGACAAAGCTCCGTTGTGCAGCACTCTACATGAGAAAGCCTCGTACTGCGCTTCGATGAGGTTGACGATCTTATCAGGGACTCCCTTGCGCCTCAGAGCGCCCCACAAGTTTTCGTGGTTTAGTCGGTCGAAAGCTTTTTCGTAGTCAATGAATACCAAGTACAGGGACTCTTGGAACTCATTGACCTGCTCCAAGATGATGCGGAGCGTGACAATATGGTCCACACAGGATCTTCCAGCACGGAATCCTGCCTGCTGTCGTCGGAGAGTCGCGTCGATCTTCTCCTGTATCCGATTGAGGATAACTTTACACAGAACTTTGAGAACAATACACAGTAACATCGTAACATGATGCCTCGCCAGTTGTCGCATACAGGATCCCTCATCTTGGGGACTTTTACCAACAATCAATACGAAACTAACGATTTTTAATTGGCTCACTACTTGACTAGCCTATTGGTCCCAAGCAAACGATTAACGTACCCCATTCTAGTCGAAATTCTAGTACTAAGCAATGTTTGTTTTGATTCGCTATGAAAGTTTGACAGATAAAATGAGGGGTTATTGGTTTTTCCTATGTTTCGAGGGGTGAATCGATTAGCTTGGAACCGAAGAGAGTACCAGAGCTGAGCCAAAAAGTTGAGCACGTTATTTCGGGACCTTCTAGTCTTAGAGTTAATTCTATGCTTTTACCAAGACGCCCTGCATCCAGTCGGCCGGAAAAGTCGCGGTGTTCCAGAGTTGATGCAACAATTGTGAGGATAGCATGGTGTCAGCTTTGAGCATCTCTGCAGATATGCGATCGACCCCCGGGGCTTTTTTGGACTTCATACTTCGGATGGCTGCTTCTATCTCCTGCAATGATGGAGCTTCAGTGTTGACGCGAGTAACGCGCCTCACCCTTGGTGGATCATGCCGAGAGGTTAAAGGTTGGTTGACCGTTGAAACTCCGAGAAGTTGTTCAAAGTGCTAAACCAACGTTTCAACTGGTCAGTGGGGTCGGTGAGCAACTGTCCAGTCGCGTCTTTCACAGACATCCTTGGGTTCATCCTTGCCCCGCTCATGCGTCGTAAAACATCATAGAGGAGGCGGATATCGCCAGTTGCTGCGGCTTTCTCCCCTTCATCAGCCAGGGAGTCCACCCTCGTTCGCTTGTCCCGTATACAGGAACGCTTAACTTCCCCCTCTAGAGCCGAATACCGCTGACGGGCCTCGTTCTTGGCTCCTCGGGTCCTTGTTCGCTCTATCGCGGCTTTTGCTTCTCTCCGCTCCTCGATCTTCCTCCAGGTTTCATCGGTGATCTACTCCTTCCTCTGAGTGCGCAGCTCACCCAGGTTGTTCTCGCTTGTTCCAATAAAGGCATTCTTGATGCTCGTCCACTGTTCTTCTACACTCAAAAATATTATTAAACACAGAATGTATAAAATTTATACATTTTTCGATTAGAGGCTTTTTATATAAAAAGTAATCTAATGTTGATTTTCATTTTATACTAAATATTAATACTAGCAGCTGTGCTTTGCTGAATTGCCGGAGACCATCATCATTCCAAACAAGAAAGAACAAGGAAGAAAATGTTCTGGACTATTGGAAATAAGAAAATGTCTTTTAGACCTTCTGAATCAATCCAAAGAAGTTAAGGTGAGTAGATTTAAGCCCTGCTTTAAGCTTTTAGCTAAATATCTGGATGCAACTTTCGATTTTACAATTGTGCAATTTATAAACCATTAAATGGAAATTTTCTATTTTCGAAATAGATAAACCAGAGCGGGTTGTCTTGTTACGCCATATTCAACCGGAACGGCGAGGGATATTATGATCCGATATGTCCACCAGCAAAGGCACCATGTGTAGCGCCGGTTCGGTTGGGATTGTCATGGGCTGCAAACCAATAAGAACGTTATGGCCTAGATGCTGAAAATCTGCAGCCCGGATGTACATCAATGCGTACAACGAGTACCGGAAGATTGTGATGCGACATGTTAACAAATGGGAAGAGATTGTTGGCATAATGAGACGATAAATTGATTTCACGACTAAATCCTTCACTGCAACGTGTTCCGGAAGTGTTTGGTTCCTGGATTTCTTAGCAGATCTCCTGTTGTAATATATTGTATCGTTTTTCAAACATGTAATAAAGATAACTGGTTGAAGAAATGCGATATTTGAAAAACAAACAAAAACACTCAAAATCAATATCGTCCCCATTCAGATTAAACAGCGTAAGCATAAATGCAAACTATACAAATTACACATAACAAGGATTTATACTTGCCTTCGTATAAAGCATTTTTATACTAAGTGTGTTTTCTCTCTCTTTATACCAAGC